TACCACTGCCACCCACCCTGAGTGCAGCCTGGCCCAGCCCCCTGCTGGGAAGAGCCCGGTGCTACCTTGGCTGCAACTCACCTTGCCCTACCCCATGCAGATCTGGGGGCATGCGCCTCCCCATGCCCTCCTGAGGAGCATGCAGCAGTGGGAGCCACCGCCCCCTTCCTGCTCCCCCCAGATGAGCCACTCACAGTTCTGTCCCTCACTGCATCTGATCCCAGCTGTGTAGTGCCTGCCCCAGCCCCATTCCCTTCTACACTGCAGGGGCCTCAATCTGATCTCCCCCCCTTATAAACAAGAAGAAAGTATAAGGAAGTACAGGAGCTGAAACTTTGAGTCATAAGGGGTACATTTATCAAACAGGTTGAAAACCCCTGTCCTAGGGGAAAGTAAGAATGCCCCACGTGGCTGTTTCTCAAGCCCATTCTGGCTGATGGTCTGTACTTTGTTCATGACTTTATAAATGGAGCCCGGAGTTTCAAGTTGCTTGTTTACATTATTGCAAGCCAATAAGTATCTTTAAATATTTATATTACCTTTGTGTGATTCTTCATATAATTGGTAGCACTTTTTTTTTGTATGCTTCAGCTGTCAGTAGGCCTCTATGCATTCAGAGTGACTGTTTCTGGTGAAAATGCCTTTGGAGAAGGATTTGTGAATGTCACTGTCAAACCAGGTAAATCAGACCAATGTATCAAGTGCTTGTTTCATTTAAAGATTCCTCAGTAGTTTGAAAGAGTAACAGATTTCCTTATAACACAGGAATATGTGCACAGTTTCTCACATTACATCAAGGATTTTTTTTAGATTGAATTGGGTGTGTTGTACTGAATTCGTTGACTTGACACATGCTAGATCAACACTTGGGACCTCAACACTGTGCAGTTAGACAGGGGGGTGTGATACAAACTCACTCACTCACTCTATGGAGTCATACAAAACTATATATACACACAAAAACACGCACTTTCATGGCTGTTTGTTAACCCTAGAGAGCGTTTAGGTTATCTGGTGCTTGGGATTACTCGAGGTCACTTGGGGTTGGGGTTAATTGGGGTCAATGTGCCCCGGGGTTACTTGGGGTCACGGGGTTGGGGTTACTTGAGGTCACCTGGTCCTGGGGTGGAAGTGAGGAAAAAAGCCCAGTGGAAAGGAGGAGACAGCTGGGAAAAGGAGGGGCAGAAGGCTGGGAGATCGTGGCTGGAAACTGAGCGGCAGAAAGAACTGAAGGAGAAAGCTGGGAAATCAAGGAGGAGGTCTGGGAGGTCAGTAAGACAAAAACCCAACTTGGGGTTTCAGAATAAGTTTTATTAATCAGGCAGCACACTATACAGCCCCATGGAATTATTGGCACAGACACAGCAGGAGAGGAAAGGCTTGGTGGAGAGATTGGAGTCAAGGTTTGTGGGGACAGAGTCCAGGTCCTTTGCTTGGGGAAGGAAGGTGGGTAATAGTTACCTATTCTGGGCTGCGAGTTGATCCTTGATGGCCAGTTGGGGTCTTCTCTAGCAAGGTGTTGTCCAGAGGGGGTTGCCAGCAGGGCCTCTGGGTGGATAGGTGGTGTGGCATGGTGCTGGTCAAGATGGAGAGGGCACCCCAAAGAGGTCACACCCTACCACCCTTTTTATCAGGGTGATCTACCTGTGTCTCCTGTGGGAAGGGCATGCCCAGGCAAGGCCAGTCCTGCTCAGATGCATACATGCAGATCCAGGTGTCCTCGTTGTGTGGTGGGACACAATGGTGGGTTGCTGGTTTCTGTATGGTCTTTGTCTTCCAAATGTTGGGTTCCTGTAGGTTCTTTATCTTTGAAATGCTGGGTTTTGTCTCTGTTCCTGGGTGAGGTCTGTGGTTCTTGGGTGAGTCAATGCAAGGCAGTGGTCTGGTTGTTGAGCTGATGGTCCCATCGTTGAGTTGATCATTTGTTGGAGGCCTGCTACCATTGTACCTCAAGCAACCTCATTCGCTCCCATTTATTTAAGAACCAACTTACATAAAATTGGTTAGACATGAGTCACAGTTACAACATACTATACAATAGGTTATACCCGGGTAGGAGACACAAGATGGAGTCTTGACATACAAAATGGAAACTTGACATTACTTGACATTACTTTACAGACATAGGCCTAAATCATATACATTCAATATAAAACAGTAAAAATCAATACAAACATAATAGAACAGTATTTACAATATAAAGGGGGCTTGTTACTATAAGGGAGTATAAGAACGTACTATAGTTTACCTAGTACTACTTGTAATTACTTATAAGGGATAGAGAGGGCAGAGAGAGTCACAAATGATTGGGGAAGGGGCGGGGAATGTAAAAGAAAAAACAAAACCAAAAAAACCCTGGGGGTTTTGCTACAAATTTTCAACTATTTCAGAGTTCTGCACTGGGGTGGAACCAGAGGGGGTGCAGTGAGGTGGCTGCAGCCTCCTTTTGGATTGGACCACACCATGGGAGTTGGTGACTTTTTAAGCCCCCAAGGTGAAAGGTGAAAATCCCTCCTCCACTCCTGCCACTGTTGCTTACCCACTGTACTGGGGGTGGGGGAAGCACTAGAGCTCTTGCTGTCTGCCCCAGCTGGGCTGCATGTGGGTTTGGCTCAGCTGGGGACAGAAAAAGTGGCAGTGGGGGTGGGTTGGGGTGAATCTCCTTCCCTGATCTCTGGGAATGGTTGTAGGGAAGGGGGAACTACTCTCTTGCCACACTGTTGCTGCTGTCCCTGTCTTCACCTGGCTGGGGTAGGCAGGAACAGCTCTGGAGTTTCCCCCACCCCAGGAACAGCAGGGGAAACCACAGTGGCAGGTGGGGGAGGGAGTGGGGAAAGGAAGGGGAGGGGGGATTTTCACCTGCTTTAAGGATTTAAACAAGTCCCTGAAGCCCTTCAAGGGTGGTCTTCTCACATTGGTGGGGGTGGAGGCGGCTGGGAGCAGGAGGTGCAGCCATCCCTGCAGAGCAGGGTGCTGCTTCCACATCCTCACTTGGGAAATCCTGGATGTGGCACTGGTCCCGTGTTCTGACAGGGAAGGGCCAAAGTGACACAAATTACAGCAGTCTCAGGACTGTGCTAGTTGATGCCAGCTGCCAGTCACTAGAGTGGGAGTGCTGGATTGTAGTACATTATACCACTCTTTTTCCTTGCTTTATCTAGAGTGTACAATAGCAGCTGCAAAGCTGCCTGTCCTGGCTTTGTTGTTGAGGAATTTCTCTAAATGAGAAGAAAGTCCATAAACCTCTAAAAGGACAGTTTTAAATTACATAGTTGAGTGGCTCAATGGAGACTGACTTTTCCTGTAATCATCTGCAGTCTGGATTCTAAATTTAAAAGTAGTCAGACAATTATTTTGTGGACTTATAGGACGGCTCCAAAATTGCATGGATCATTTTGTCCGTACAGCAGATTTAACTGCAGGCCTTAAATTTTATATAGAAAATGGCTTTTCTGTATTTTAGATGATATTCTGAGCCAAACTTTCTTCCCATTTAATTATGTAGCTTGTATATACATGAGAAAATGCCATGATTAAGTGCTGTTTTCAGCTACTTATGACTGAAAATGTTTGTTAGATGCAAAGTTCCTATCTGATTTTTATCCCAAACCACCATAATCTTTCCCCTCTGTTGAAGCATTTATTTTCCCTTTTCACTGTTGATTTGCCTAAGGAATTGGCAGAATAGATTTGCATGTGTTTTCTTTTAATAGCTTTTGTTCCCCTCCTTTTTCCACACAGCAGTCGGAGTAAACCAGCCACCTGTTGCCGTTGTTTCACCCAAAGTACAGGAGGTCTCATTGCCTACCACATCCACCTTCATTGATGGCAGTCGTATGTACTGGGGAACTCTTTGATTTTATCTTATGGTCCTTATACACGGTTGTAATATTTTTTAGGAATTATAGTTCTTATTGCTTACTCCATCTCCTACACTTTGGTGAAGTGGGATACTCTCTGCTGAATGTCATCATTCCTTGTCAGAAATGTTTGTTTGCCTTTCATTAAAAAAAAAAAAGTCCTTTCTGTAGATTCATTTTTAAGTAGAAAGCAGAATGACATAGTCTTAGGCTTCATTTTCTTGAATTTTGCCATTTGTACAGTGTATGTGTGTGTGTTTAAAATGCTGTCAAATCAGAAATCACTCACTCAAGTAAAGTTGTGCTACATCCCTTAGCCCAGGGGTAACGCTCTGGAAGACCTAGCTATTTATTATGTGTATAATTTCAAGTAGGCGTTTGGATCTGTTTGAAGTCAGTAGAAATTGCTTAAATGTAGGCATGTTGTCAAGTGCCTCAATGAATCAGGGTCTTTATGTTTTAAATAAGGTGCATGGAGAGACCTACAATGTGTTGCTAAACAAAGTTTGTCAGAGAATACTCGTGAATGTTTACTTTTGTTCTCTTTTTGTCTCTCATCTGAAGCTTAATCAATTGAACTGCATGTACCCAAGTGTAGGATGAGACTAGGGAGATGAAATACATCGCTCCAACTTTGGGCCAGAGTGTAGGACTCTGGTGTATTTATTCCATGGCTTCCCTGCCCACAGTAGCCAAGCGGAGGTCACTAGATCTACCCAAATGCTAATTTTCTGGCCTCTCCAGGCTGTCTACAGAGCCTGTCTCCCCTTGTGGGTCTATTGCTGACAAAATGAGCTACGGCCACTCACCCCTGCTAAGGTGAAACAGAGACCATCAGTGAAGCAGAGTAGGCAATTGAGAGCATAACCCAGGGCCACACTGTGGCTCTGTCTTGGGAGAGTTCACTCAAATCTGCTTGAGGCCACTCTGAAGTCATCTAGATTGTCAAATCGCTGATTCCTGGTATTGCCTCTTCTTTCCCCCCCCCCCCATCCACTATGGGAGCAAGTGGGTAAGGTTTATTTGTTGACACTAGACCTAGAATTGGGATGTAAGCTGTAAAGATCTGGCATCCCACTTTTTCCCAGAGACTCTGTTGTCATCCTTTGTATCAGTCTTTGTCAGTGGTGTGTACAATTCTGGCTGCCCTGTGGGCCAAATGAATGGTTTGGAGCAGATCTGCAGGCTAGATTGGGCCCCATTCTGCCCCCTCATGCCAGTATTGGGTCCTGGGGTCCCCCATTGCCTCCAGCTGCCTGGAGCTCAATCCTGGCTAGGTGGGGGTGGCACAGGTCCCCAGGGCTTGATCCCAGCATGAGGGTGTTGGGTGAAGGCAGCACAGATCCCTGGAGCCTGATCCTAATATGCAGGGGGCTGGGTGAAGGTAGTGCGGCGCCCCAGAGCTTGATCCCAGCCAGACAGAGGCAGCACAGAGCTCTGTGCTGCCCTGCCCAGCTCAGAACAGGTTCCAGGTTCTCCCTCCCCACCATCTGACACCCAGGAAAAAGCTAATCTCCTTAATGATTACTTTGCTTCAGTTTTTCACCAGCCCAAGGAAGTTTCTTCACCATTCCTGCCTGACAGGACATGGGATTACGAGGGTATAGGTGACCACACACCTACATTTGGCAAAGACCTTGTGAGGGAACACCTTGAGAGGCTGGACATCCCTAAGTCAGCAGGCCCTTATGAAATGCATCCAAGAGTGCTAAAAGAATTGGCTGACATCATAGCATGACAGATGGCAAGGATACTTGAGAACTTGTGGCACTTGGGAGAGGTTCCTGAAGATTGGAAGAAAGCCCATTGTGGTGCCTATCTTCAAGGAAGGAAGAACCAGGGGACTGTAGGCCAATCAGTTTCACCTCAATCCCTGGAAAGACCATAGAAAGAATTATTAAAGAATCCATCAACAATAGGTTAACGGAAGGCGTCATCTGGAGAGACAGCTAACATGGCTTCATTATGGATAGGTCGTGCCTGACCAACCTGATCTTCTTCTATGACCAGGTGACATGTGTGGCACAGTGGGATCTCCCCAACCAGCCACAGTGCTAGTTTCCCACCTGCCCCTGGGCACGCTGCCTGCTTCTCTCTCCTGCCATGCCTTGTTAAATAATTAGGGTCTTAATTAGGCAGGAGGCTGCCCTTTGAATGCCCTGTTCTCCTGGGCCTATGTATGCAGCTCCAACCACCACTGTACTGAATCCGAAGCTTTGCAGATGGCCTACTGTTCAATTGCAAGCTCAAGGCTGGGCCCAACTAGACAGTTGTGTCTCTCTCACGCTGCCATGTTACAGGCCACATTCATACTACCTGTCTCTCACTGGGGCCTCTTACACTCCACCAGGTGTCACCTGGTCCCTTGCATACCACCCCCTTGGGCCACACTCATCCCGTCCTACTCCATGAGATCCTTGGGCTTAGCTCTCCATTCTTTGGTCAGCCCTGGTGCAGTCTCTCTGGCATCTCCCACTACCCCACTGTGCATTGACTGAGTGATTGCTCAACTTTGAACCAACTTTAGCTCTGGCCCTGCACCAGAACATAATGCCCCTTCCTTGGGCCCCTACTCCTGCCACTCACTCCTGGGGCCTTTCCTCAGCCTCCAGTCCACCTTTGGCCTCAGGTATCTGAAGGCTTACCTGGACCTCACTTGCCCCCTTGCTCTCAGGGCCTCGCCACTCTTGTGCAGGCAGATAGGTGTCTCTCTGCACCCCACTCTGCACCTCTGCCTCCTCTGAGGCACGTACTCTGCCCCCTATGCTGGGGCTTGGGGTTGAACACCCCTGCAGGCTCAGGTGCCCCTCATTGGCATGCCTGGCCCACCACTCTCACTCTCCAGGGTCTTGCACCCCCCACGGGCTCAGGTGGCCGCAGCCATGCCTGGCCCCACTACGCACTCTGGGGTCTCACACCCTACGTGGGATCAGGTGCCACCCCTGGGTGTGCCTGGCCCTCTACAGCCTCCGATGATAAATAAACCACCTGAAGGTGGGGGCTGGGGTTAAGGCACCCCTCCTAGCCATTCACCAGGGTGGTAAATAGCCTGGCATTTCTGGGGGACTGTCTTGCCATGAACAGCCCCACCAGGCCACTTATCCCCGGCAGGATGCAGTTTTAGGTCATGCCTAGGACCAAGAGCTTCCTAGCCATCCCCATAAGCTCTTGCCCTTACCTCCTACAGTCACCAGAGCAGCAGCTCCACCAGGAGATGTCGTTTCCTCTGTGCCAGACAGCAGACTGCTGCCTCCAGCTCTGCTGGCCTGAATCTTAAAATGCCTGCTCATCAGAGCTGGGGCCACACCTGCAGGTTGCCTCTTCATGTTCTTAAAGTGGCAGACACCAAAGGAGCTCTGCCACAACACATCACCTGGACAGGGGAGGAGAGGCTAATGTCATATACTTGGATTTCAAAAAAGCCTTTGATTTGGTCTCCCATGATGTTCTCAGGACAAAATTGGGGAACTGTGGCCTCAACAACCTTATGATCTGTTGTCTGGGGAACTGGCTCCATGGTTGGACCTGGAGAGTGATAGTCGATGGAACCGAGTCAACATGGCGCATGGTGACCAGTGGCATCCCTCAGGGTTCAGTACTTGGACCAGTACTCTTTAACATATTTGTAAATGACCTGGATTCAGGTGTCAGAAGCAGACTGGCTAAGTTTGCAGATGACATCAAATTATGGGGAAGCACGGTCATATTAGAGGATAGGCTGGGGATTCAGGCTGACTTGGACAGGCTCACAAAGTGGATGGATCAAAACCTGATGACTTTCAACATGGAGAAATGCAAGGTGCTCCACCTTGGGAGAAAACCCACATCATACCTATAGGCTTGGCAATGCTACATTCACTAGTGCTATGAATGAAAGAGACTTGGGGGTCATGGTTGACCACAAGATGAACATGAGCCACCAAAGCGATGCCTTTTGGGCAGGGGGCTAGACCCAATGATCTTGTGAGGTCCCTTCCAGCCCTAATGTCTATGAAATCTATAAAATCTGGTTGGGATCAGGCTCCAGGGGCTCCACACTGCCTTTGCTCAACCCCTGCACACTGGGACTGAGCCCCCTGCCACTCTGTGCACCCAACCTAGCATTCAGGGCTATAGCTCACAGGGCTCCCCACGGGATCCATGGGAAGCCCTGTGGGCCACATTACGTGGCTCCAGGAGCTGGATCTGGCCCTCAGCGTGGGGGTTGAGCACCCCTGGTGTATACATAGAGCCTGCATAGGAATCTCTCCATGTCCTACTGGGGGTGCTGATTCCTCTTGCACAACCACTCTTCTGGCTGCTCCTTCTGTTCACAGCTTCAGGGAGGGTAAAAGCTTTCTGAAGACTTTCTTTGTCCTGCATTGGACCTGTGCTGAATATTTTTGCTCATTCTCACACAATCTCTTCGTTCTTTTGAGCCCTGGTTGTGCACATGTTTAACATACTTAGCTGTATGGTGCTTCACAAACAGGTCCAAGGAAGTGATTCTCCCCCTCTATGCGGCACTAGTCAGACTGCAGCTGGAGTATTGTGTCCAGTTCTGGATGCTGCAGTTCAAGCGGATTGTGGACAACCTGGAGAGGGTCCAAAGAAGAGCCACTCGCCTGACTGGAGGCCTGCAGGGAAGGCCCTACGAGGAAAGGCTAAGGGACCTTAACCTCTTCAGCTTCTCCAAGAGAAGGCTGAGAGGGGACCTTGTGGTGGCATACAAATTGATAAGGGAAGAGCAACATGAAGTAGGCAATGATCTGTTCACCAGGGCATCCCCCGGATCAACAAGGAAGAATGGCCATAAGCTACTAGAGAGAAGGTTCAGGCTGGACATTAGGAAAAAGTTCTTCACGGTTAGGGTTGCCAGAATCTGGAATGGGCTCCCAAGAGAGGTGGTGCTCGCCCCATCCTTGGGGGTCTTCAAGAAGAGACTGGACAGGCACCTGACTGGGATCACATGACCCCAGGGTTGGTGTTTCTTTTCTTGCCTGCCAGGGGCAGGGGTTCGGATTAGATGGCCCCCTGAGGTCCCTTCCGATTCTATGAATCTATGTACAGAAGTAGACCCACTGAACTCAAAAAAGCTAATGGAACTATGCAAACATCCTAAAATTATGCAATGCATTCCTGTTTGGTAAAGTTGAGAAATAAATATACAACTGCCTTGAGAAATGGAGTGAGATTACTCATAGTCTCTTTGGGATTTCAGAGGCATTTTATGTCCCTGGATGGATTTTTTTAAACTGAATAAGCAAGCTACATACACATCCTTCTGTATTTTAAATAGATGCTATTTGAATAGATATGTTGCCATTTTTTAAAAAAAGTCAACTTTTAACACACACAGGCACATTTATATCTTACTTTAAGTATCTTACTCAGATTCTGTGGCTTGATAACTGCTAGTAAAGAGATGACTTTGTATATTTTTATATGTGCGCAAACATGTTTGAAAAGATAAATATAGAAAACTAATTAAACACTGAGTATTATGTGTCTTTTATATTACTACTGTTAATTCATGATACTGGTATTTTTCTTTACCAAATATAGAAAGCAGAGATGATACTAAGATTGTGAGTTATCACTGGGAGGAAATTAAAGGTCCATTGCGGGAACAGAAAGCATCTGCTGACGTACCTGTTCTACACTTGTCTAACCTTGTTCCTGGCAACTACACTTTCAGGTAAGTGAATTGCTTCCCTTCCACCCCCACAATGTGCACATCCTGATTTCTGTTAGAAGCTTATTGCTTTCTACTGTATGATCATATTTGACTCCTTGGAGGGTTGTGTCTATCTTCTACAAATTATTTTCCTTCCCATAGTTTGGTGGAAAAGCCTTACAAAGAGGTTAATTTAGAAACATTTAAACTGATTTCACAGGATGGATGTGTTGCATCATGCCTGCCTTGCAGCATACTGTTATACAGAATGACACAGCAGAAAACTCCACAAAGATATGTTATGTTTATAGCTAAGGAGAGAACTCCTTTTTTTTTTTCAAGATTTTTTGACCTGCAATTTGGCAAGTGCCCCTCAGTAACTCTATGTAGACAATTCTGCTTTAGGAGGAACTGTAGACAGAACAGGATTGGAAGAGTGATCATTGCAAAGCAGTCTGGTATGTCAGTTCTTCAAGAATCATTAACTTCTTCAATAAAAGCCTTTTCATTGTTACCATTCATCTTCCATTCTGGCCTGCTAAAGCTGGAACCATTCCAGATGTCTATACAGGCAGCAGAAAAAAATGCTGTTATAATGTTGGGTATTCATTATGATAGATTTTCCATTTTCTGGAGAGTTTAGCTTAGGATCTTATCCTTTCGTAGGCAGAAGAACCACTGACTTCAATTGGCAGTTTGCCTACAGATTCATAAAATCAATTCAAACAACAGATTGTGCATCAACATATCATCAAGGATTTGGAATCTATAGAGAACTTGCATGTACCTACAAACAAAGTGATGCTTTGTGCAAGCTTTATGTGCCAATACAGTACCCATTTAAATATAGGTCCAAATTCTGTTCTCAGTAATACAGGTGTAAATATTTGATTTTGCTGGTGGTACTTCATATTTACACTGGTGGCAGCGGTGGAAATTGACCTGTTGTCCAGACTGATGATCATCATGCTACTAGAATACATGCTAAGCAAAAGAACTCAAAATGCTCTCCAATTAGAAATGAATTAAGTTTCCAAGAAATCCACATGTGGTCTTAAAGTGACCTGTCTAAGGCCACGGGCATGCATGAATTTGAAGCACTTCAAATTCTTCTTGAGGTTGGAGTGCTGCAAATTTGAAATGCTTTCAGGCTGTGGACAGGTGTGCAGCCCCTTGTTGCAACTTGCAACCCGCTGGACTGATTCAAAATCACTGATGGCATGAAGCAGTGTGCTCACAGACATGACAGCCAGGGGTTGTTTATTCCTGTTGCTCCACTCCCTCACGTGGCTTGAGGAGGAGCTGGGTAGATGGCCAATGAGTGCTCTTTTGTGCAGTTTTATGGTTCCAGAGGTGGAGAGTCGTTCAATGAATGTTCTCTCCAGTCCCAGGTACCAGAGATTGCTGAGGACAGTGGCATGCTCCTGGCCCCGCCCCCCACAAACCAGAACTAAAATACTCTGGAAATACGAGACCCTGGGACTGGAAAAAAAGATTATGTGCATGACACTTGAGCTCTGGAGATTGCTATGGACAGCTGAGCTCACAGGAGAGTACTCTTTGGCTGTCTATCCTGTGGGGCCAGGGAGGAGGGAAAGTAGAGCACTATGGAATGCTGGGGCACTGAGCAGCATAAATAAAGTACATTAAATATAGTGCACAGATGGTCCAAGAAGTGCTTCCAAGAGGTTCCTCAGTTTTTTAGGATCATTTTTGAAGTGCTCAAAGTGAACAGGGAACTCTAATCCCAGAATATTAGAACTAGGGGACATCCACTGAAATCAGTGGGAAACAGAGTGAAAACTAACAAGAGAAAGTACTTTTTTACATGCATGTGGTTAAGTTGTGGAGCTCATGTCTACAGGAGGTTGTAGAGGCAGATAGTGTAGCCAGGTTTAAAAATGGACTGGACAAATTCATAGACAATAAATCTGTTTAATAGCTATTACAACAGTTGGAGATGCTTCCTCGGACATCTGTAAACCAGTAATTCTCAACCAGGGTGCCAGGCCCTGGGGTGCTGTGAGATCCTTTGAAGAGTGCTGCTGGAAGTGTGAGGAGATAAGCAAATAAAGGAAGGCTCAGGCTCCACGTGGGAGGAGACAAGCAGATAGGGACATGCTCAGGCTTTCCTTACCTGGCTATTCCCCCACCCCCACTGCCTGGCTTCTGCAAGGTCAGCACTGTAATAAATCAGCTGTTGAAATAGGATGCAGCTCAATTCACAAAAGTTATGGATGGGTGCATTGATCCTAAAATGGTTGAGAACCACTGCTCCAGATGAACGGTTGGAGATGCCAGGGAGGGTAATAAATAGGGGATAGATTACTTTGGACCAGGGGCAGGCAGTTATTGGGGCCTGAGGGCCACATAGGGAGTTTTGAACAGCTGTCACAGGCCAAGATGGCATCACTGCCCCCTGCCCCCACAACAACTTGCCAAAACTCCCTGTGGGGCTGTGCATAGGTGGGGAGTAGTGCTCAGGAGTGGGAGGGTGAGGCCGGGATCACGTGACCCTGCCCTTTAGGTATGGGAGGGTTGTGTGTATGTGTGTGGAGGGGAGGCTGCCTGGACACTAGATCCTGGGATCCTGCTGTGGTGGGGGCTGGGGGGCAAGGGGCATATGCACCAGAGCTCCCCCAGGCAGTGTGGTCTGCGCTACCCCTGTGGCACTCCACATGGGGTTGAACCCTGCCCGCTTGCATCGTGGCAGCCTGTTCTGTGCTCCTACCAGTGCCCACAGCCTGTCTGAGTGCTGCTCTGTGCCCTCCACCTCCAGTTCTGGGATGTGGAGCTGAAGCCCCACATGCCTGCCAGGAGCAGTGTGGTGAGGTGTGGCAAGAGTGAGAGGAAGAGCTGCTGCTGGAGGTGGGAGACGCAGAGCAGCATCCAGCCAGCTGCAGACACACTGGGAACAGCTGCTGAAAACTGCTCCTGTTCTTGCCCTGGGAAGGAGGCTCTGGCTCCAGCTAGTGGGAAGGCAGCCTGGAGCTGAAGGCAGAGCCCTGGTGCTGGGGCAGGAGCCACTCAGCTGAAGCTACTTGCCCACCCTCCTGAAATGGCGTGGTCAACATGGCTTGGTGCAGCAGGAGCAGCTTCCTGCAGGCTGTTCCCAGAGTGGCTGCAGCCAGCTGAGTGCTGCTGTGTGCCCCCCACCTCCAGCAGCAGCTCCTCCTCTGACTCCTGCTGTACCATGCTGTGCTGATCCTGGCAGGCACATGGGGCTCTGGCTTCAGATCCCAGGTGACTTCCTTTCAGTGAAAGGCATCCAGGAGCTGAAGCCAGAGCCCTGTGAGCTGGGGTAGGAGCTGCCTGGCTGAAACTGCTCACTGGGTGCAGCAGAGGCAAGATCAGAAGCAGGAGCTGCTGCTGGAGGTAGGAGGTACAGAACCAGGAACAGCCCCACCAGAAGCTGCACCCTGGCTGGGGCCTGGGCTAGCAAGGGCCTGGTATAGGCTGCCTTGGCATGAACAGGCAGGGCATGACCGCGTGTAGAGGTCTGCAGGGGGCAGCTGGGGGCTAGATCTGGTTACCTGGCAGGCCAAATCCGACCCATGGGTTGTATTTTGCCCACCCCTGTGCTAGAAATACCTGGTTCAATGCTCTCTGAAAGCATCCACTGCTGCTACTGTCAGAATACTAGGCTAGATGGCTCATTGGTCTAACTCAGTATAGCAATTCTTACGTTTCTCTGGTTGTGAATGTCTGTACGTTTTGGTTTTTTTGGAGTGCTTCAAAGGCATTTGGAGCATTTCAAATGTTACATTTGTCTAGGGCCTCAGGTCACAAAAATAAACCACATCAGAATAAAGAATAGAATCCTTCAGTTCTTTGCATTTATTGCAAAAGTATCCTTCCCTTATTGCTAAAATTAGTGGGCACTCAAAATGGGCTCCTACCTCATGCTCAGTTTGGTATATTAGTTGCAATAAAACTGAGCTAAGGGTATTTTCAGATGTCACAGTGAGAAGCATTGTATAAATGCCCTACCTCAGATGTCCTTTATGTGTAGTAATACTTATCTCACCATTAACTGTTTTTCAATTCTGTGATTTTTTTTTTAAAGCAATGATATAATGGAACACTGCATGGTTTTGGTTTTGTGACTTGGCTTCCAGTGCCATCATCCACACAGATTTGGGATGATGTTAAGCCCTGGTAAAATCAATTCAGTGTTTCATTAAGGAAAAAAAAATCCAAGCAACTCCGAACATACATTGCTGTTCATTTGCTTTGGCTTGTATTAGAAATAATTTTTTATGCTTCTCAATGTTTTTATTTAGTTATTAACAGGAGTTAGTCCACTGCAGCCGGTCAGTTATATGGTTGGGGTTTTACTGGGTAAGTTTTGTTAGGAATTTGGGATGTTGGAGTGAAATCTTAGCTCTGTTGAACTCATTGGCAATTTGCCATTGACCTCAGTGGGAACGGAATTTCTCTTGTCATCCTAAATATGCGCATTTCAAACTACAAATGCATTTGTAGTGTAATGTAATGCAATATTTGAAAAATAATTTTCTCTTCCTCTTCCCTACTAACACCTGCAGTCAGGCACCTCTTATTCCTTTTCAGCATGTGGTAATACTCTGATTCAGGGTTATCAGGAAAGGGTTCCCTTGCCTTTTTAGGTGTTTGGGTTTTTTTCATGTCCAGTTACCAAGAGAAGCACACAGGAGAACTTTATTCTTTGTTTAGATCCAGATTAATGGATACCCTTCTCTGCTGTAGGCTAACTGTAATTGATTCAGATGGAGCAGCTAACTCTACTATTGCATTACTGATGGTCAACAAGCCAGTGGATTACCCACCCATTGCCAATGCGGGACCGAATCAGGCAATAACTTTGCCTCAAAATTTCATCACACTAAATGGAAACCAGAGCAATGATGATCATGAAATTGTCAGCTACGAGTGGACACTTAGTCCCAAAAGTAAAGGCAAGGTTGTAGCAATGCAGGTAAGCTTACTTCTTGTTTGATCGTCTATTGCTAGTTGAGGGAATAAATGTGTAGAAATTACCACCACATACACCAGCAGTTATGTAGAGATTACTGTTACCCTTTTGATTTCATGTGATGCCTTCAGTACTCTCTTTAAATTTCATTTCCTTTTCGCCCATATTTGATTTCTGCGATCACTTATGATGTGATTTTCTACTGAGTTCAACAGGAAGACTAGCTTACAATTTCTGTCCCTGGAAACTGGAGTCACAAAAGTAGGTTCCAGTTTTATTCCTTTTGACCTCAGCATTTAGCCAGTGTTCAGTGTCTTGTTGCCTGTGCTAGGAAGAGAAATTGAGGCTGGAGTCAGGAGTTTGTGTGTTTATTTTTTAAGATCTTGTTTGCTTACAAGGAATGGACAGAGTCCTGCTTCCTTGAGCACAGAAGGAATCCAACAACAGGTGGACTTTCCCTGCTTTCTGTTGCAAGCCTTTTTCCTGGCAGCACTCTATCCAGAAAAGCTCTCTTCTGCCTGTCCCTCAGCTCCATGTTATTAGTATTTCTCTTGCAGTCTTCATCTGCCACATGTATATACAGCAGTAGCAAACAATATCCAGCCCCTTGCCTTTATAGTGGACAAAACCTCTCAACCACATACCTTATGTTTCCTTTACATTGGCGGTTATACCTTTCTTTCAGAAAGGAACAATAGTGCTTCTTCTATTTATCTTGAATGAAAGGTGGGCATCATACTTACCAGCTTCTGTGAGGCTTCGCTCTAATGTCCTTCATATTCAGTAACATTTTTGTTATGTTAAAGTTAGGCCAGTTTGCTTTTTTTTTTTTGGCCATGGTTGTCTGTTTCTTTTTTTCTTCAAAGTTAAGAACCTGATTTTGTATAACCTATCCATAATTCTTGGTTCTCTGCAGGGCCCATAGTTAATCCCTGGTCACCTGAACCACAGAAGCCATTTTAGTAGGCTCCAGAGGGAACTTGTATGTTAAAGGTGGAAGTTTTAGGGATTTCCTACAGACAATTTTTGCATAATTATGTCTATAGTGATTTCTAAGGCACTATAGTTACATTAGTGCAATCTCCTAGTGCAGTTGACTCTCTTATGCTTATATCAATATAATGTATTCCTATACTTTTTCTCCTTCTTTCTTTACACACTTCAGCTTTAGCTCAGAGTGTTACTTCAGTCCAAAGCGACTCCCTTGCATGAATGGGTCACTGATCTAAGATGCCCAAAGGGCTAATCACATATTGAATACTGAAATGTGAAGGCATTTTACAGATTATTTTTGAGACTGGGGAATAATTTTCATTGCTATAAAGCTGAGGATATCAGGACTGCAGCTTTGACCAATGACAGTTGCTTGAATTAAAAGTTAGCTCTGGTGAATAATTAATAATATAAGTTATATTTATAGTTTTCATTAACGTTTATTTAAAGACATAGAAGGACATTATGGTGTAACACAATCAATAGGTATTATGATGCCACAAATGACAACTTGTTAACATGACGACCCATAAGTAAGCAGTAATGTGCCCTCTTACACATTTACATTTAAATATCAAGTAACTTCTATAAATGTGTGGAATGAGCTCTAGTAGAACATTTGAAGAACATTTTCTTCTAGGACTAAATCACGATCCCTCTGCAATCAATGACAAACCATCTATGAACATGAGTAGGACCAGGATTTTGGTCTTTATGTATATTTTAAAATGTTTCTTTTTTGAGATTTTCAGTAGGAGATAAAATGCATAATTAACAGTAGAATGTTGTTGTTCTTATATAAGAATATAAATCCCGTACACATTTGTGAGAAGCAAGTACAGTCTCGTCTATCTTTGCATTTAATGACATTTTAATTGATAAAAATTGTTCTTTTTACACACGAGTATAACACTGAAATAAACTTTCAGTGTTTAAAAAGACTCATCTGCAAGGAAGTGTTGCAAGTTTTAGTAAAGCGGATCATAATTTCATCTGTTAGTAATGAATGTAAACATTTCTTGCTTCACAAGACATTATGGGTTGTTGTTCAGCATAATGCAGCAATTATACTAAAATAAGAAATGAAGGTTTACTGATTGCAGGTGAAATATTGTTGGCTCTTAGTATAAGAGAGGTAGGGAGCTGTATACTAAATGTGCCTGGGCATTGGGTTTTAAATGTATTCTTTTCCTTTAAACCAACATGAGCCATTTGCTCAGACAGTATCTTTGAATTTAAACTGTAAATTGGTTACTCTGCCAAGTTGTGGTATGCAGCCCATCTTGTATGTGTTTGTAACCTAGCTTCATCTCCTAGCATTCTCTTTCTTACCCTTCTTCCCCACTCTTGCTGTGTAGGGAGTGCGAACTCCATTCCTTCAGTTATCTGCAATGCAGGAAGGAGATTATACATTTCAGCTGACAGTTACAGACTCGGTTAAACAACGGTCCACTGCTGAGGTCACAGTGATTGTACAGCCTGGTAAGTAGCCTGTAAAAGGTCTGACTTCCTCAGTGATAAACTGAAATTAGGATAATTACAGCAGCTCTTGAATGTCTTGCCCTTGAATCCTCTGGTTGGCAGGCAGAGCACCCAGCAGTTGCCATATCAAGGGCTTTTTCTTTAAAGGGGAATTACAAAATGAAACACAGATCTATGTGGTGAATGCTTCTACTAACCAGCTTTTGTGAAGATCTGTTGTAACTTACATTATAAACTGTGTTGTGCTGAAGCTCCTGCATGGCCTGCATATTGATATAATCTAGCACATAAATTGGGACTTAATTAACTTCAATTTCTTCTTGCTTTGCCATTCATTCATCTTCCAGGATTCTTTAGTAATTTGTATTCTAGGACCACAGCCTAAGATTGCCAAACAGATAAATAAATTGCATTATTAGTTTTCAAAGACCTTTGCTTTTCAAACTTTCTGAAGATCAAAGGGCATCCCAGCTACACTAGATCTCCTCAGATTTTCAGGCTGATTGCCTTTGCATAGTGTCTTTTCTGTTTTTTGATTCTCTTGGTAGCATTGTGCTCTGTCCATATGAAAAAAACTTATTAATACTGGCAGTGCTGTGTCCAGCAAGGTAAATAGGGTAAGCTTTCTTTCCTTTGGCTCTGAGTGCATGGTCCTATGCCATGCTTTGCATTGTGTGCAATGAAGCTTAATTCTAGATGTGTACTACAGAAATAAAGAACACAAATGACAAACACAGCCAGTCTCTATGCCTTTGAAGGCGGTGACAGTGTGGCATTATATATATTATGCTAATTAAATCTGGTCCAAGGGCAAATAAGAATTCTGGAACATGGTCACACGATGACCTTGACCTTGCTGTCAGAACAAGGATAGAGAAAGTAGAATAATAGAGAAGACATTGCCTTACTAAATCTTCAGCTGTATTTAAATTGGCACAACTCCATTGACTTCAGTGGAGTTATACCAGTTGACACTAGTTAAGGATCTGAGTCAAGGTTCCTCCTTTTAAGACAAAAGACCACATTCATCCTGGTGGAAGTCAATGGAATACACTGAAGTTAGAAAAAACAAACAAAAAACCGAACAAACCCAACATTTGTGTGGCAGAACAGTTTTAAATGACCAGTCTGTGTGCTGCAAAAGCTCTTGGAAGTGTGACTGTGACATGAAACGCAATGGTGAAAAATAAACTTATGTGAGGCAGATCTTCCTGCATCAGTGATTCTCACCTTATTTAGACTACAGGCACCTCTCATAATATGCCAGCTCTTAGTTTTTACACATTTCTTGACTATGGAAAAATAATAGAGCAATACTTCTGTTGCAAAGAACTCAGGAAGACCATGACAGAACAGAATGGTTTTTGATGCACTAGATCCTTATTTGAAATCTCTGGGTGCATCCCCGTGAGCGCACATATGCAGGGGCGTGTATTTCCTATGGGACAAATAGCAGCACCACACACTTGTGCTGGCCGCAGCAGCCTTACCTGAGGGCAGCATGGGCACTGAGCCAGCCACTTGGAGCCTGATTGGCAGCCAAAAGTGTGGCTCTGGCCAGCCAGGTTCTGGTTTCTAGTGACACATGCTGCTGCCATGTGTGCCATGCTACTTTTTTTTTAGCAGCGTGTTTTTTTGTTTTTTGTTTTTGACACCAGGATCTCCAGTGTTTGTTTTAAAAAAACCAACAACAAAAAACCACTGTGCTGCAAGTTAGCAGTGCGGCACAAGGGTGCACATGTGGCACATGTAGTTTGTGGCACCTCAAACAGCTTTGAGGCACTGCAAAGCACACACGCATGCTTGTGGGAACATGCCTCCTGGGTTTATCTTGTGAATCAAATGTAGGTGCTAATATTCTGTAGCATTGTGTGGTAGCCTTAAAAGGATCTTGCAGCACCCCAGAATCACTGCTGTACACCCCACTCTATGTATCCATCCATATTAGTGCAAGAGAACCTGGCTTGCTTGCCTGTTTCTGCAGAAGTACCTATTCCCATCCTGATGCCCCAAATTCTGCTTGGTGATTCATGCTTTCAGCATCATTTGAAGAACTATGAGCAGCTGGTCATTAAGTTCTGTTTTCATTAAAAATTCTGTTTTTCATTAAAAAATGTCCCAGTGACTGATAATCCTCACTACTGATTGCTGAAGAAAAAAATACAATGTATTAAATGTTGTTTTTGCAGAAAATAATAGTCCTCCAATAGCTGTAGTTGGTCCAGATAAGGAATTGACATTTCCGGTAGAAGGCACAACGTTGGATGGAAGCAAAAGCAGTGATGACCAAGGCATTATCTTCTATCACTGGGAAAATGTTAGGTATGTGGAGAAGGCAGTCAGTGAAAATGGGATTAGAACAATTGCTTGTTTGTTGTTCTTGCAGCTTTAAATGTAAGGACAATGCAAGAATGAGAATCATTTTAGAATTCCTGCTCCTCTGGTGGAGAATGGCATGGACGTCATTTATGAATGTGATGCAAACAGAGTGGGGGGTGTGAAAAGTATTTAAATAAAGCAAGTTAATCCACCCACAATGGTGACTGGAGGCCTTTCTGAGTAATTACAAATCTGAGTAATTTCATGCACCTGTAGAACATTGTTTTTTGTACATGGCCACATGGTTCTGATAGTGAGTTTTCCCTTCCCATCCAAGTGAAATTTGAGAATGAAAGTGTTGGATTTCCTGGATGCCATACTGTACTGTTGTATCCATGAGCCATTCTATTAAGCCTGATTTTCAGTGGGTCTGTTGTGGTCTGTAGGAATTTTTAGATTCAGCTTTGAAAGCCTGTGAGATTTCAGCCCACATCTTGTAATGAGTCATGTAAAGGCAAATTACCATAAGGAAGGATTGTAAGAAAATGGCAAAAACTCACAAGTCTCCCATTGAAAAGCTAACACAGCTAGTGTATCTCCTAAATTCCAAGATATGTTCTCTCCCCACCCCCGGCCCCATTCAACACAGGGAAAACACAGCCTTGTCTTAGAATCAAATATGGGACAACTCCAGCAAGAAGCTGTGGGGAGAAAGTCTGTCTGGCTTAGGGAAGCCCCAGAACTGCTCCTGGCTTGCTCCTGCCATGTGCTGCAGCTAGAAGCTTTGCAGGAATCCCAAGTTGGCTAGGGGCAGCAGCACACAGGTTCCTTCTTTCAGTGCCTTCTCCCTTCCTGGCTTCCCCCAATTCCCAGTTTCCCCTGCTGTTTGGGAGAAAATGCTGGAAGGAGGGAAGTGCTCACTGCCACTGCTGTCCCCAGTAAAGATGGCTTCCCTGTACAACTGCTCCCAGCAGCATGGGGCAGGGGCAGGTCAGGAGAATCTCTGGGGCTTTCCTTTGCCCAGATCAGCTGAGGACAGCAGTGGAAAGTGTGAGCAGGTGGGGGTGCAAGTGATGGGGGCAGGTGGTGAGGTGGCCGAAACAGGCACAGGCTGGGAGAGGCAGGTAGGGCAGGGGGTGGAGGTCAGAACACTGACCTTCTCCACTCCCAGCAACTCGCCTCCCTATAGTCTGCTGCTCTGCCACTACTTTCCCCATCACGGTAATGAAAGGGACAAATTTAAGATGATTCCCAAATAATTAGATTCTAGACATGGATAATCATAACAAATTTATAATTTTGTGTGTCTAGAATCTAATTATTGGGGGGTCATTTTAAGTTTGAGGTCATCTTTGATTCAGATAAATATGGTAATATACAGCTTCCCTGTCAGCTTCTAGAACTAGACTTCTCCGTGAAACAAGTACATACAAAACAAGTAGTTTCTTAATAAAAAGGACCAGATACTAACCCTTGCAGTTTTCACTCTTATGACTCAGTGGGCATGTCTACATGAGACACGCTAATATGTATTAGCTGAATTTAATGTGCATTAAGTGCGCATGTCTACACATGCATGCTTATAACGCGCATTAAAAATGTTGAATTTGGGTTAATCACATCTAAATATGACACCGAAAAATGCAGGTGCAAATTTAGGTATGATTAGTTAAAGCGCATTGACACACGTGTAGATGCTACCTGGCACTAACTTTAGTGCCGGGTCTGCCCAGCCACTAGGGAGCTGGCCTGAGCCTAGTCCCAGGGCTCCTGGTTGGCCGTCTCTCCTCCCCCCCCCCAGGGCTGCTGTTCTGTGCAGGAGCCCAGCAGGACCCATGTGCCCCCCTGGACAGGCCACAGGCTGCCTCTGCCTGGCCTGTCCTGCTCCAGAGCTGCTACTTGGCCACAGGGGAAAGTTACAAAGGGCTGCAGCTTGCTGCACCCCTTGCGCAGCTCTGAGATGGCCCCAGGGCTGCTGCCTGGCTGTCTCTGGCAGCAGGACCAGCATCTGCTCCCTGTTGCTGCTCACCCCCTGCTGTCTCCTGTGCTTGCAGATCCTGTGATAAAGTGCCTCTGCCATGCAGCTCCCAGTCCCTGGCTGTGGCCCTGTGCTGAGCACTGCTGGCAGCTGTCCAGGGCCAGCTACACAGGGACAGCCACACAGAGGTCCAGAGAACTGGCGCTGTACAACCATGTCACCCCAGCCCTGCCTGCATGTGCACACCCCTGCTAACTGTCAGGGCTCCCAAATGGACCTGGGAGGAGGTGGATGACCTTGTGGTGCTCTGGGGCTATGCGCATGTACAGAGGCAGTGTGCATGGGGCAGGCACTTGAATGCCTAGATTTATGAGGCCCCATTTGGTGGGATGTGGGAGCGAGGGCACTCGGTCAGCGTGGCAGTGCTGCATAAAGGTCAAGGTCTTGCAGGCAGAGTTGATGGCCATGGTTGACTTCAATCATCAGTCCAGTCATGCTCAAAAGTTGGTGCCCTTTATGCAGCAGTTGACTCACATTTGGGTGCCCCAGAAGACAGGCCTCACCCTGCAAGTGCTACCAGCACAGGCAGTCTGGCTGAGCCCTTGCCTCTCCCTGATGCCTTTGGTGAAACGACACCAGAGATGGGGATCTTGGGCCTTTAGCACCCCGCCCCATCCTTCTCCATGGCTGCTGCATTCACTGGCAGCTTGGGGAGCCTTGCCCAGTAGCTGCCTTACACTTGGAGCAGCCCCAGACCCTTAGGTGACCCCAGCAAAGTGACCATCCAGTCTGCTCTTGAAGATTTCCAAGGCAGGTGATTGCACCATCTCTGGAGGGAGTTTATTCCAGAGTCCGGACAGTAACTGTAAAGAAAATTTTCCTAGTGTTAAGCCTGAAATGGTCTTCCAGGAGTTTGTAGCTATTACTCTTGGTTTTCCCCAAGGGTGCCCTGGTGAACAGTTGTTTGCTGAGCCCTTGATGTATTCCCCTGATATATAGTGGTAAGCTGCTACAAAGTCCCCTCTCAGTCTTCTCTCTTTTAGGCTGAAGAGACCCAAGTCCCTTAGCCTTTCCTTGTATGGCTTTCCTTGCAAGTCTGTGATCATACAGGTGGCTCTTCTCTGGACTCTCTCAAGCTTTTCCATGTCTTTGTTAAAGTGCGGCATCCAGAACTGGATGCAATACTCCAGCTGTGGTCTCACCAATGCTGAGTAAAGCAGAAGAATTACTTCCTTGGTTTTGCTGGCGATGCATCAGTTGATGCATGCTAGAGTTTTGTTTGGCCTCCTGGCTACAGCATTGCACTGATGGCTCATGTTCATACTATGGTCTGTTGTTACCCCTAGGTTCCTTTCAGTCGTGGTGCTAGTCGGTTTGGCGTCACTGAGCCTGTAAGTAAGTTGGGGATTGTTGACCCCCAGATGGAACACTTTACACTTCTCAGTGTTGAACTTCATCTGGTTCTGATCCACCCAACCTGCCAGTGTGTCTAGGTCTGTCTGTATCTGCAGCCTATCCTCAAGCGTGACCACGCTCCCCATAACTTGGTGTTGTCCATGGATTTGGCCAGTGAGCTTTTCACCCACACGTCTAAATCATTGATAAAGATGTTGAAAAGCACCAGACCAAGCACAGACCCCTGAGGGACATCACTGGCTACTTCTTGCCAGGACAAAACAGATCCATTCATTAGAACTTTCTGGGTCCTACCCCACAGCCATCTTCCTACCCACCTAACTGTTGAGCAGTTAAGCCCACAATCCTCCATTTTTCCCATGAGAACATCATGGGGTACCAGATCAAAGGCCTTTTAGAAGTCCAGGTATACAGCGTCAACTTCCTCTCTTATCCAGGTGGCGAGTTACCTGGTCATAGGAGATGAGATTGGTAAGATAAGACCTGCCCGCAACAAAGCCATGTTGGCTGTCATTCACAATCCAACCTTCTACAAGTATACTGCACATAGACTCCTTGATGAATTTTTCCAGGCTTTTCCCTGGGATAGAAGTTAAGCTAATTGGCCTATAGTTGCCCGGGTCTTCCTTCCTCCCCTTCTTGAAGATGGGCACAACGTTGGTTTCTTCCAGTCTTCAGGGACCCTCCCCCAAGTGCCATGAGTTTTGGAAGAGTTTTGCCAGAGGTCCCATGTTGACTTCAGCCAGCTCCTTCAGCACTCTCGGATGAAGTTTTCATATATTCATAGATGCTGTGGTTGGAAGGGACCTCAACAGATCATCGAGGTCAACCCCCCTGCCTAGGCAGGAAAGAGTGCTGGGGTCAGATGACCCCAGCCAGATGCCTATCCAGCCTTCTCTTAAAGACCCCCAAGGTAGGGGAGAGCACCGCCTCCCTTGGAAGCCCATTCCAAATTTTGGCCACCCTTACTGTGAAGAAGTTTTTCCTGATATCTAGCCTAAATCTGCTCTCAGTCAGTTTGTGACCATTCTTTCTTGTTACCCCAAGAGGCGCCCTGGTGAACGGAGCATCTCCAATCCCTTGCTGCATCTCCCTAATGAATTTGTAGGCAGCCACAAGATCACCTCTCAGCCTTCTCTTGTGGAGGCTGAAGAGGTCCAGGTCCCTCGGTCTCTCCTCATAGGGCTTGTCCTGTAAGCCCCTGACCATACGAGTGGCTCTCCTTTGGATCTTCTTGAGTCTATCAACATCCTTCTTGAAGTATGGCACCCAAAACTGGATGCAGTACTCCAACTGTGGTCTGACTAATGCCACATAGAAGAGAAGTATCACTTCCTTGGTCCTATTTGCCATGCATCTGCTGATGCATGATAAAGTGCGGTTAGCTTTGCTGATGATTTCGTCACGCTGATGACTCATGTTCATATTGGAGTCCACTATGACTCTGAGATCCCTTTCTGCTTCTGTGCTGCTGAGAGGGTCACTTCCCAGCCAGTAGGTGTGCTGGATATTTTTGCGCCCTAGGTGCAGCACTCTGCACTTGTCCATGTTGTACTGCATCCTATTGTGTACAGCCCACTTTTCTAAACTGTCCAGGTCTGCCTACAATCATTTCTTACCCTCCAGAGTGTGTACTTCACCCCACAATTTAGTATCGTCCACAAACTTGGACAGAGTACACTTCACACCCACATCCAAGTCACTGATGAAAATATTAAAGAGTACAGGTCCAAGGACTGAACACTGTGGGACCCCACTACCCACATCCTTCCAGGTCGATACCGACCCATCTACTACCGCTCTCTGGGTGTGACCGCTAAGCCAATTTGCCACCCACTGGACCATGTAAACATCTACATCACAGCTTCTTAATTTATTTATGAGAATGGGATGAGATACCGTATTGAAGGCCTTGCTAAAATCCAAGAAAACAACATCCACCTCTACTCCTGCATCTAAGTTCATCTGGTCCTGCTGACTTATAAATGTCTAACTTTTCTAACTGATCATGTATCAGCTGAATGTCAACAAAAGGAACATTCCCACCATGCCCATTCTGAACCTTATCTAGTATGATTTTCCACTTAGTCTGGTGAAATACTGAAGCAAAGTAGTCATTCAGGAGTTCAGTTTTCTTCTGAATGTTGGTAACCAGCTGTCCTGAGTTGTTAAGCAATGGCTCCACACTTCCATTTGTTTTCCTCCTGTTCCCTACATACCTAAAGAAGGACTTCTTATTGTGCTTGATTTCTGTCGCTAGTTTAAATTCAGTCACTGCCTTAGCCTTTCTAATCTGGTTGTATAGTCCTCCTTGGGGGCTGTCCCAAGCTTCCATTGTTTGTATGCCTCTTTCTTCTTTTTCAAGATGACCATGATTTCCCTATTAAGCTAAGAGGGCTCACCAGCCCTTCTGCTACCTTTTCTCTTCATGGGAATGTACTTCTTTTGTGCTTCGAGGATTGTGTCTGTGAGGAACTGTCACTCTTCATACACTCCTTTTGCCTTCAGTCCCTGGTCCCACAGTGCTTCCCCTACTGTTACCTTGAGCCTGTTGAAATTTGCATTTTTGAAATCCAAAACTTCATCCCTGCTAGCTGATTTGCCTGCCTTGTGATGGACGGTGAATGTGATGGTTTCATGGTTGCCGTCACACAGGCTACCCTTGAAGTTGTTCACCAAATTTTCTCCTTTGGCCAAGACCAAGTCTAGGAAAGCATTACCTCTGGTTGACCTGTGCACTTCCTGAGTCAGGTAGAGCTCTTTGATACAAGTGAGGAAGCAATGCGACTGATCTGACTTAACCAAGTGTTCCTTCCAAGAGATGTCTGGGTCACTGAAGTCACCCATGATGACCATGTCCCATGTGCACATGGCCTTTGCCAGTTCTTGAGAGAACTCCAGATCAAGATTCTCCCCCTAGTTTGGTGGTCTGTAATATACACCTACAGTTAGGTCTCTCTCATCGCAGCCCCCAGTAGTTTGATGCAGAGGGTTTCAAGCTGCTTTTCTTTGGAGGTGACATCAGCCTCCAAGGAAGTGTACTGCTCATTCACATAGAGAGCTACACCTCCACCTTTCTTCCCTACTTGGTCCCTTCTGTGCAGGGTGTAGCCCTTTATGGCTGTGTTCTGATCATGTGAGGAGCCCCACCATGTAATCCCTACTAGATCACAATGCCCACTGGAGAGTAGGAGGGCTAGCTCCAGCTTGTTCCCCAAGCTCCTGGCATTAGTGTACGGGCACTTAATCCTCCATTTGAGACCCCTGATTTCTTGTCACATTGAGGTAGAACTATTCCCTCAGCTCTTGCAAGTGTGGATCTTCTAGTGTCCCCAACTTTGGAGCTTTCTTGTATGCTGGTCCCTGGGCATGCTGCAGTCAGTGTTTCCCTGTCCCTTGGTGATTTTAGTTTAAAGCCCTATCTAGAAGGTTGACCATCCTGGCTGAGAACCAGGACTTATCCCTCCATGTGAGGTGGATGCTGTCTTATCCCAGGAGTCCTCTCTCCCTGAAGTGTGCACTGTGATCAAAGAAACTGAAGCCCTCTTGGTAGCACCACTGCCAATCATCAGTTCACTTTTTTGATGCATTCTTCCCTCCTAGGTCTGTGGCCTGAAACCAGGAACACAGAGGAAAAGACTACCTGTGCCCCCAACCCTTTGAGCCCAGCCCCCAGAGCCCTGTAGTCACTTATGACCCAGTCTGGATTACTCCTGGCTGTGTCATTTGTGCCCACGTGGATGAGGAGCATGGGGTAGTAGTCAGAGGGCTGGATGAGCCCAGGAATCCTCTCCACAATGGTCCCATGGAGGCGGCAGACCTCATGAGCTAGGGGGTGTAGATGGCAGATGTTCCCTTGGTGCCCTGCAGGAGGGAGTTACCCATCACCACTACTCTGTCTCCTCTTGGGGGTGGCAGTTCACTGACTACCCACCTCCTTCTCCAGTGCCTCCATCGGAGCCTCCTCATGCATGGTGAGGGGAGCATACTTGTTGTGCAATGCCAGGGAAAGGGCAGCCCTAGCTCTGCGTGTCCTGGAGCCTGAGACAACCATCGTCCAGGTAGCTCTGGATGGGTCTTTTCGGCCAGCCATCTTGTTGGCCACCTTCTCCTCTATCTTCTCTTCTTCATTCTTCAGGAGAAGAGCCTGACTGTAGTAGTCATCAATCTCCTGCTTGTGGGCCCTGATGGCATGAAGTCTGCCTACCTGGGCCTGGAGCTCATCACCTGGGACTCCAGGGACCTCACTAAGAAGCATACACCACAGGTGGGGGTGACCTTGCTCCCATTCCCAGTAGCTGGCAGCCGTGCCAGGCAGCCCCTGCAGCCCGGTGCCAGGGGCTCCATCCGGGTGGAGGACTGAAACATGGGTTCCATCTGGATGGAGGCCTCAGTGGTGCCTCAGGGAAGGGAACACCAGCTGGGGCTGAGGTGGGAAGCCACGAGGTATGATGGATTCCCACCATTGTATGATAATAGGCTATACAACTACCTTGGAACTGGCCTGTGAACTGCTTGCAAACTGCTTCCCCAGTTTGCAGTCCCTGTTTACTGGCTCCCTGGTCACAGCAAGCCAGCTGTGAGGGTGGGCTCAGCTGGCTGCCACAAGGGCCCAGGCCTGCCTGGCCAACTTACCATGGTTCCAGGACACCTGTGTACAGCTGATGCCCAATCTGAGGCTGGACGGTGCACAGCCCCTGATGCAGAGCATCTTATCTCTTAAATGGTGCAAACTCTCACAAAAGGCTTCTGTCTCTTGCCTCTGCAAGGCCAACATCTGGATGCAGGGGAGAGCCCATCAGCCCCAGTGGGGTTGCTGCTTTATGGTCACCACCACCCGCTGCTGGAGCAGTTTGGATGCACCAGCAGTGCACTGGGACTGAACCCTGCTGCTCCAGTGGCTGCTGGTGGTGGTGGTAGAGGCATGGGAGCAGGCCTGGTGGGTGGAGGATGCCACCCAGGTGGAGGCGTGGGACTGGGCACAGTGGGACCATTGAGCTCACATGGGGGCCCTGGAGCGGGAGTGCCTGGAGCAGCTCCATCAGCAGGGGGATGCCAACCACCAGGCCATGGAGACTGTCTTGGCCCTGACAGCCATGTACATGTCCCCTTCTGCCCAGCCCCTGGCTTCATAGGGCCCCTTGGTCCTGCCTGCTGGCCCACTGCAGGCCCCTGCCTGGCCCTGGGAGGAGGTTCTAGGGTGCCTCCTGCCCACCAGACCCCCTGGCCCACTCCCAGCTTAGACCTGCTGCCATCTGCCTGGGCCCAGCCCCACCACTGTCCCCTGCACCACATGGCCAAAGACCCAGGGCCAGCACCATGGCCAGTAGCAGCACAGGGGCACTATTCATCTCTGGTAGGGGCCAGGCTGGAGCAGCAGGGCACTTGGCACCATGGGCAGGGCCAGGAGCAGCTCTGGCATGGGGAGGCACAGTAGGCAGGGAGGGAGCTGGTGCATGTTGCACTGCATTGGGCTCATGGCTCCTAGGTAAGGAAGGGGCTGGCTAGGGATCAGAGCTTCCAAGATGGCTGCCAAGTGCTGACAGCTGGGTCTGGTTTCAACATGGCTGCCAAGTGCTGGCAGCCATGTGGCTGGAGCTCCTGCCGGTGGCTGCAGGGGCACATGGCAGGGCTGAAGGGACTTGGGACTAACTTCAGCGCCAAGTATACTAACTTTAGTCCCAAATCTCTGCATGTGTAGATACCTGCCAAAAATCGCTTAATGCACATTAGCTTAATGTGCATTAAACTTAGTTGTGTTTATTGCACATGTAGATGTGCCGAGTGGGCACTTTGTTGCTGGTTCTCAGCATATTAGGTTATTGCACAACACTTTTCTGACTATACTGTAGATGTTCATAAGTACTGTTGAAATGTTAGAGCAGAGAAGTGGATAGTACTTTCTGCTATCTTACCGACTTTGATGTATGACCTTGGATTCTTCCACATTCCTTGGTTTAACTCCCTGTGAAACCACTAATTCTGTGGATCAGATTCATGCTTGGTGCAATACCTTTACAGGCAGTGCTTAGATCCTATGTTTTATAAGTACCTTATGCAAGCAAATAGAAAGGATAACTGAGTAACACTGAGGATAGAATATGGCCTATAGTCAAGATTGTTTTCTGGCTATGGTGTTTCAGTGGGCCAAGTACTCTGCAAATGGAAGACATTGACAAAGCAGTGGCGACAGTGACTGGACTACAGATTGGTACCTATCACTTCCGGCTGACAGTGAAAGACCATCAGGGATTAAGCAGCACAGCTATGCTCTCTGTTACTGTTAAGGAAGGTAAATTGAGACACATCTGAGGTATAATGTGACTTGCTACTTAATGTGATTGTTTACATTCCAAAAGTAAACTCAAGAAAAGCTACAGGATAAGACTACTATTTTAATAAATATGTATTCTTCCTTGTATTACAGCAGTATGTTTATTTACTTACTGTGGTGTTTCTTTTAAATTAACTGTGTGTGCGAGCATGCGTGTGTGTGTGTATGCTGAAAAAGATTATGTTAATTTTGGCATGGATTGTTTTTTATATTATTCTACTCTCAGGATGTTAGTGGTACCCTGCTGTGAATGAAAGGGATGCTGAGGAAATTTAAACTCTCAGTGTACCATATTCAAATGAAACCTCACAGTAAACAGATTTACTTATTTTTGTCCAGTATTGAAATAAAGAAACAATGTTTTTGTGTCCCCCCTTCCCACCTTCTCCACAATCCCAGAGAGTCTTGGGGAATTATAATGCCATTTTCCTGATATTCTGTAGAACCAGAATGGGGGGGAGGGGCGAAATTCAGTGTGCATTGCATCCTAGTTTGCAGGTGACCAACTGCAGCATTGATTGCTGTATTTTGGTCTGAGTACACTGGGAGCAGTTATCCTACACACCTCTGTAAAGATGAGGGTGGTAGTAATCAGTTTTATTGTTGGTAAATCAGATTTAGCTGTTTGGTCAAAATATGGCTACACTCCTGTGAGCTTATCTGCACTGGTGTCATTTGTATTTTATGCACTTTGAAAGCTAATATTCTCCTAGTTATTCTTTTTTTTTAAAGAAAACAGTACTCCTCCTCATGCACATGCTGGAGGCAAACACGTCCTGGTGCTTCCCAATAACTCTGTTACTTTGGATGGCTCAAAGTCTACAGATGACCAAGGGATTATGTCATATCTGTGGATTCGTGATGGCCAGAGTCCAGCAGCTGGGGTAAGTATTATAGAAGTCTTTTTTTTAACTGAAGTCAAATTTTGCCCTCCCTTGCCTATTATGTAACCCTGCTGACTTCAATGTTCCATGCTGGCATATGTGTCCAGTGAGTTAACTTAGGAATAGGTGTTGCATCGGCTCTTACTTAACTCTATCAATGATCTAGTATCAGAAATGTCTTTTTTACCCTAGCCCTTTAATCATGTTTGCTGAGTATATTTAGTTAGGAGAACCACAGCAGTAAGGACCGAGATGCAAAGGACCCTATACAGAAAGGCTGGAGATATGGTCACGAAACTGTAAAATGTAGTTTATCTGGGGTAAATACAAGCTTATACATCTAGGGAAAAATAATCTGAAACCCAAATGGCTAAAGAGAAAAAGATTCTTGAAATCCAAAGATGCTAATGAATACTGTGGAAGGATGGCAGACAAATTTGACATGAACTTGAAATGTGATATACAGACATTGCATCATAGACCACAGTGATAATCTGCCTCAAATGGACAATGACAACATTGGTACCAGAATGCATGTATGGATCTGAGCTCATCAGTATCAGAAAGATGGTAATGTGCTTGCAAAAACTGAGGTGGGAGGAGAGGAGGGAAAGCAAAAACAAGTGTCCACCTAGGTTGACATAGCCTAAGGTAAAATTAGTCCCAGGAGTATAACCGTCTTCTCCCATGTTTTGCAGGATGTGATTCATGGCTCAGACCACAAGCCAGTACTGCAACTAACCAATCTTGTGGAGGGAACATATATCTTCCACTTGAAAGTGACTGATGCTAAAGGAGATTCAGATATTGACACCGCTACTGTTGAAGTGCGGCCTGGTATGATAATTAAAAGGTCATCTATAAGTAGTGTGAAATTCCATGTTCTTTTGATGGTTGTGTGAGCAAGATCCTGTCAAGTTAAAACTTGTTGGTCTGATTCTCCACAGCCTTGTGGGGGGTGATGCTCAAATTGGATATAAAACACTATCATATTCCTGGCTTTACACCAGTGATACCAGCATTGAGCCACTTTACCCAGATATTAATGGCTGCACCCAGTGAATAGCAGTGGAGAATCATGCCTGTAGGGTTTTTTTAATTGTTTCCTTGCCTGTATTACAAATGTCAGCTTTGTTTACCCTGAAAGATTTCTACAAGTCTAACGGATTTTTTTTTCACTATTTATACTGCTTGCTTGTGGTTTTTTTGCATTTTAAACTATTGTGATAAAGAAAATAGACAAACGATGACCTCTTTAGTCATTCTCCTTTTAGTCACACGTGTACTGATTCTTATGTCCAACCTCCACATTTTACTGTTCGGGTGCTTAGAACTGAAATGGAACATTTATTTGTTTAAACAAGTCTTCATTTCTTTTTTTATTTCATTATTTAAAGCCTGGAAACATTCTTCTGTTAGTCTTGTGTTTTTTTATAGAATCCTCTTTGGGGACGGATGGTGTTGTGGGGAAGGCTTGAGGTGGGAATTTGATAGATCTTAATATTCTATTTTTGTCTGTCACCAATTTTCTTTGCTTTCTGTGGGAAATTTGTTTAGTTTCTGTGACTTGTTTTCTTCCTTGAAGAATCAGAATAATCTCACTAGGTTGCTGTGAGGCCTGTAGTGTTTGCCCTTCTATAGTGCTTTACAAGGTATTTTCAGATGTAACCAAGTCTACATTTTTGAGGCAAATTTACTAGATAACTAAGTAGTCCTTTGGATCAATACTGAAATACCTGCAGGTCTTCAAACAGACAGCATATATTTTGGTTTTTCAGACCCTAAAAAAAATGGTCTGGTGGAGCTTATATTGCAAGTTGGAGTTGGCCAGCTGACTGAACAACAAAAGGACACTCTTGTGAGACAGCTAGCAGTGCTACTGAATGTCTTGGATTCGGACATCAAAGTTCAAAAGATACAAGCCTATTCAGATTTAAGGTACAAAGACAGTGTGATGCTTGGAACTATGAACATGACATCTGGCTCAGTCTCTTCTGCGACACTCCAAAACAAAAGAGTATATAAAGAATTCTTTAAAAATATAATTATGGCAAAAGTGCATAGTTGTGGTCATGAGGCTGTATAAGCATCCAGGCTCAAGTGGCCAGAGAAGGACCCTGAACAGTCACTCAGCTAGATAGTTGTTAAAGGGGTATTGCTTGGGTTAAAGCCTGCTTGTTTGTCTGGATTTTTACACCTTTGGCAGCTGCTTGTGTGTGGCAGAGCAGGGAATTTAATAGCCACATCTTACCCTTTCCAGGTAGTGCAGTCCAAGAGTGGTTCTGGACTAAGGGTTCTTCCTATGAAAAGTGTAGGCACTGAGGGAGGAAAAGGGAGACTTAGCCTGGTTAAACAGTGGGGTCTTTGAAATTTGCATGTTCTGAAAAGACAAGGAAGTCCAATGCAACTGCTTCTTGGGATAGGGCAGCCTTGCCTGATCAGCTTTTTGCAGATCTATCTACCATGTTTTCCACTTCTGTGCAAGGAGACTGGGCTTGTACATATTTGTAAAGAAGTACTACGATCGGGTCTAGGCTAAAAATTTGCCCTTGTTGGGGGTGCTAATTTTTCTTAACATTTCTGAACTGAAATTCAATTATCAGTATGAAATCCCTTTGTCTGGTAGTAGGTTATATCACCTATATTACCTGATATAAGCTAAATTGGCCAAGCACTTGTTTGCCAGTCTAAAGTGTGTCTATATTAGGAGGATTTGCTGCCTTACTTGGAATGTATCGGCCATTTTTGTATACTTGGTTTAAGATATTACTCTGCATCACTAATTTCACTTCCAAAGTGGTAAATTAAGCTGCTGGGCCCTCCAAACCTACTCATACCTTAGTAAAGGATCAACACTGTTATTGGCTGGTGTGTCTTACATTGGCCATAATATTATAAGCAGAACCTTTCTTTACAAGATGGCTTTTTCTGTGCCAGTGTTTTGCGGAGTTGCAGGAATGCAGAGGTATAGCCCACTCTTCAGAAATTAAAATTTTCTCATAAGCACTACAAGTTGTGCACTTATAGACCAATAACAAAAACTTCAGCTATAAGATGGGGGCCCATAGCCTGGGAGATATTTGAGGAAGAGGGGGACCCAAGTGTATTGATTGATTGTAGGGTGGCCATGAGCCATCTGTGGGATGCAGCTGTGAAAAAGCTAATGTAATCTTAAAGTAGATTAGGCAGGATATAGACAACGGAGACAAGGTGTTGGTACCATTCTACAGGGGATTGGTAAAACCCCAATGTACCTATGTGATTTTGTTCAAAGAAGGGCCTTTACACTCATTAAGGGATTGGCAACCTCTTCTTATGATAGGGCAGGGAGTTCTGGCTTAACAGTGTGTGGTGTGAAGTCACATGTTTGTGATCCCCAGATTGAGGTGAAAGCTTGCTCTTGCTGTATAGAAGGAGTTTGGTGATCCCATGCCCCGGGGATTTTGCTGGTTGTCAGTTGGGGCCACGAAAGAATATTTTTCCATCATGAATGCTGCTGGCTTCTGGTAGGTTTTTTTTTTCACTTTCCTCTGAAGTACTGGGATATTGGCCACAGCTAAGGCTGTTTCCCCACCCCCACTGGTACTTGTACAACCCAGAGGTTCATGGCTGAAGTGGCTTACTTCTGCTTAGAGTCAGACTGATTGCCACATTTGGGGTCAGGAAGGAATTTTTCCCTTGGTCAGAGTGGCATAGACTGTGGGGATTTTTTTGTATTTCTCTGTAGTGTAGAGCCAGGTCCTTTTTTTATGGAGACTGGACTGGATAGCCTGGGATGCTCTTTCCAGTCCTGTGTTCCTGTGTAATGTGATCGTTGCCAGAACCTTTTGAGATGACTAAGCTTTAAACTACATCTTCTTGAGCTAAATGATATTTTAACAACTGTGTTGGTACTTGCTATAGGCACCTCCTAAAATTCACAGATACATTAATTGAAAATCTACTGTTAATTCTACCACATTTCAAATGGCAGCTCTCAACTGGCTCGTTTCTGGTTTTAAGATTCTTTAAAGAAAGCTGAGGCATTGCATCCAATTGTGACGTAGCATACTTTCTTGCCGAAAATTATTTGTTTAATCCCCATCTCTCATTGTGTCTGAGCTCCTATTCTTTCAAATGTCCTTATGCAGTCTTGGAAGAGGCAAGAGTTCTTGTGGGTGATTATCTTTTATTGGATCAACTGCAATGTTGGGCTAGACATAGGGTATGTCTATCCCGCCATGTAGCTGACCGGCATCACCTCTGCACTACTGCATGTAATCTTCTCATAGACTTCAGTGGGCTGTGTAGATGCTTGTGGAAAAAGCTGGGCTTTTTAGTATATCTAGGATTTGAATAGGGGCAGGCTCTAAAGAACGATGGGCGGTGGTGGGGGGGAAGGGTTTGTTCTCTTTGTTTTTTTCCTGTGAAACTGATTATGTATAGAACTGGTAATGCTCCTGAACTGCGTAGTAGAGCAATAGCCATATTGTTCTGTTGGATTTGATTAATCTAGAGCAGGGGTGGGCAATTGTTTCAGGTGGAGGGCTGCTTACTGAGTTTTGGCAAGCCATTGAGGGCTGCTTGACAGGCAGCCAGGGGCAGATAAATATTAATTTTCTAAATTTTTTAGGGGTTCTGAGGGCCAGATGGAATGGCTTGGTGGGCCGCATGCAGCCTGCATTGCCCACCCCGATCTAGCAACAGATAGATCGACTCTTAGATGCCTGGATATAGTAAGAAGCAGTTTTCTTACAGTCAAATAAAAAACTGTAAATGCAGTAGATAACACATATTTTTGTGTCTGTGTGTGTGCTCTCTGCAGCACAGCAATCATGTTCTATGTGCAGAATGGACATCCTTTCAAAGTCATAAAGGCTTCGGACATTGCACGGACTCTGCATGTGCAGCTTTTAAAGGAAAAGGCTGACTTCTTGCTTTTTAAAGTTCTGCGGGTTGATACAGCTGGTACGTTCTGAATGATGCTTTCTTAGTGTCTTGATTTTTACAGCCATGAAAGTACTAATTGATGCAAGCAACATAGGGATATGGCAAGAGCTTCCTTTATGTACATGGGGCTTGAAGTTTGCATTAATTTTATGAAAGATGGCATAGATCTGGGCTGTCCTACTGGTGGCCACAGGCATTATGTGGCCTACAGGGGGATTAACCTGGTCCAGGTGCTGCTTCCCTCATTACTTTTCTGCAGCTGCCACCAGGGTCTCTGGGTTTCCCCTCTCTGCTCCAGCTTCCTATTTCTGCCCTTGCCCCTGGGAGTGGGGTGGGGTGGATCAGCCCACAGGGCTCACCTAGTCTGTAATCTGGGAAGCTTTGGGAGTTGGGGGCACCTGTGCAGTGGGGAGAGGCCCATGTGGTATGTGTGTGAAGAGTCCTGCACAGTGTGACTTGAAGCCTGTGGGACCTGTGGCACATACAGCATGTGGTCCCTGACTGCTCAGAAGTTGGACTGGTGTAGATGTTGCTGCTGCTTGAAATACCAGTCTACCTATGACAGGCTTGTGCTAGTTGTCTTCTTTTAAAGAGACTATTGGGGTGCAATTTGATCATTATCTATGATTTTTATAAACAAAAGCTATACAATAGAAACTTTTCCACTATATACTCAACATTTTGCAATGCTGGGGGACTAGGTAATATTAGACCATCTGCGATGTGCTCTTACATGGCTTGTTTTAATCTCTCTGGATGGAACAAACTTTATTATAACTGTAACAGAACTTATCACATCACTTCTTTCAGAATTCATGAAGTATGATAATAGAGTCTCTTTCTATCTGCACTGGCTAAAAATGTTCAGACATTATAACCCAGTGCCTTAATCTGATTAAATTTGTAATATAGACTGGTTTGTATTTCTTCATAATGAGATCTCTTTACAATAATGCTTGAGCATCAAGGTCAAACTTCATAGTTCAGTCTCCCATAAAGTAACATGCTCCTGGTAATTTGAATGCTCTAGGACACTAAAGCATTACAGCTATCTATTTGTTGTCATTTCAAATCAAATGATTTGCTGAAGATCAGAAATAATAAAGCAGGAACATTCTGAGCTCTAAAATATTTGGTTTTTATAATGGCTTAGTTTTGAGATCATTCCTTCATGAGAAAATGACAGCTGTTATACTATAAAATTATTTTAATTATTTTTCACTGTTGGATTGCAAAAAATTGTAGGTGTAGCCTTGGGGGAGGTGAAAATGACCTTTTCTTTTAATTTATGCATTGGATTTATGGTCAAAAGAATGCCACCCCAAGATCCTACATTGCAATTTGCCCTTTTATACTGGTAATCTTCACATTTTTTTTTACTTTAGCTTGCCTTTTAAAATGTTCTGGACATGGGCACTGTGACCCTATTACAAAGCGTTGTATTTGCTACCAACTGTGGATGGAGAACTTAATTCAACGTTACCTCAGTGATGGAGAGAGTAATTGTGGTAAGTCTGGAAAGTGTTGTGTATGTTATGTTCCAAGAACATACACCTGGATTATAGCAGTTTTGTAAGTGTATTACTTGTGGATCTAGAGAAAATCAGTAAAAAGAACATGAATGTAGCAGCTTGGGTTGAGTCCCAGGAGCTTGGGTTGAGTCCCAGGATCAAGGGTCTGCTGTTTTGATTGGTGGAGCCCACCCACCAATCCAGAGGCAGCATGCGGGAAGCAATGCTCTGCCCTTTTCTGAAGGGTGGGGCCAAGGAGCAGCTGGACCTGAATCGGAACTGCACCAGCCAGGTCTGGAGAACTTTGGGGGTGGAGCCCCTGAGGAGTACAAAAGGGGAGCATGCTCAGCAGGCTGGAGAGACAATGAGGGATGGCTAGGAGAGAGGAGCTCCAGGGACGGCCTTCCTCGGGACCCTGCCTGAGCTTCAGCAGCGTGCAAATCAGCGCATGGGGATCAGGCTCTAGGAGCTGCTCGAGGTGGCTTGAGCCTGTGAACCCAGCAAGAGGCTGGGCAGTCGGTGTGTAGATTGGCACACGGAGTGCTGGCCCTGGGAGCAGCTCGAGGCCGCTCAGGCCCCGCATGGTGTACAGATCGGCACACAGAGAACTGGCAAAAACCAATGCCCCGCCACCATCTTCTATCCTGGTTTTCGCGGGCTAATCACCTGATCCTTTCCCGGGTGTGTAATTTCCAACACTTGACAGGGTTCATCGTCAGGTCAGTCCTGCCCGACTCTAAGTAACGGGACTCTTGCCTGAGTCCCTGTTAGATTTTATATTAAGCATCTGTATTTATTCTTGTAATCAATTGTACATAGTTAAGTATTTGGTTTTGGCATAGCTCTATAGAGAGGGGAGAAAGCCGCTCTAGTAGCTGACCCCTTCCTCAGCACCCTGCCTGGCCACCACCGCTATCACTGGAGGACAGGGCACCCCCCCTACCCCGGTTTACCCGGGCTACATGAAGGAAGATTAGGATATTGCCTGTTTGTCCATCTGTTCAGCTATCAGTAGTGTACTAAGAAACTGTACATGACTACAAAACAATTGAGTGCCCACAATATAATACTCAGCCTTGTAATTTTCAGATAATTTTAATATGTATAGCATTTTATATCACACCTTCAGATAAAGAGTACAAAAATTGCTGTGTTGCTGCTGTGGGACATTAAGTGATTTTTGCCCAGATTGATTGGCTTAAGAGGGCCCAGGCTGGACTGAATGTAGATGATCTTACTTGACCTTGGAAGTATCCTGACCAGTACTTGGGTAGGAAACTACCCTGGAACCAGACACATGGAGTCATAGTCATACACTTGATGAATACTATGGAAACCAAATGGGTGGCAAGTCCCATGGTTGCTGCAGAGCTGATGGATGGGATTAAAAGGAAGGAAGGATTGTTTAGTAGGCAGCCTTGTACTTCGGCAGTCCCTCCCACTTGAGGATGATTGCCTTCCATGACTGTCTTATCTGTGTGTCCAAAGATGGCTGATGAGGCCTATTCAGGATTGACAGACTCTACTGCAGCTTGGACATGTGTTTCTGTCTGGGGATGGTGGCGCTGGATTCTTGATCTGGTCTGTGACATGTTGTTTCTGCTGCTCTTGCTTTTCCATCTCCTGTTGTTGCCATGAGGTTTCAAAGTACTGAGATCCCTGCAGCAGAGTCCTCTTCCATTTGGGGTGGTTCTGGGCAATAGTCTCCCACAAGTTGACATCAATATTGTATTTTTTTAATTTGGCCTTGAGCTCATTCCTGAAGTGCTTTCTCTGCCCTCCTCTTGAGCGTACACCTTGGCTCAGCTGGAAAAATAAAACTTGCTTCAGGAGCTGGACAGCTGGATGACGTGAGTGGCCCAACAAAGTTGATGTTGGATGATCATCATCTCAGTACTCATAGTGTTTGCTTGCAGGAGGATGCTAATGTTAGTGCATCTGTCTTCTTACTGGATTTGGAGGATCTTCCTCAGGCAGCATTGATGGTATTTCTCCAACAAATTTAGATGTTTCCTGTGTGTTGTCCATGTCTCGGCTCCGTACAGTAAGGTGAGGATCACAACTGCCTGATAAACCATGAGCTTAGTTTCAGATCTGATGTTGCGATCTTTGAACACCCATTTCTTTTGGCATCCAAAGACTGCACTTGCACATTTGTGGTGTTGCTGGATTACTTCATCAATGTCAGCCTTCTGCAAGGGACAGCTTCTGAGGTACACGAAATACTCAGCATTCTTCAGAGTCTCACTGTTGATCTGGACTACTGGAGCTGGGGACTGTTCACTAGGAGATAGTTGATGGAGGACCTTAGTCTTCTGAATGTTAAATGTCAGTCCCATTTTCTTGTATGCCTCGGTAAAGATGCTGACGACTGCCTGAAGGTCTGCTTCTGAATGAGGTCACACTAAGCATCATCAGTGTATTGGAGCTCAATGATTGTGGTTAGAGTAGTCTTGGTTTTGACTCAGTCAGCTGAGGTTAAACTGCTTACCATCCACTGGGTAGTTTAGCTCCACTCTGCTGGAAGCTTATTGGTGGTCAGATGTAGTATTGCTGCAAAGAATATTGAGAAGTATTGGAGCAAAGACACAGCCTTGCTTAACTCCTGTTTTGACTTCGAAGGGATGTTGATAGATCCATTACTGAGAACCGTTGCTCGCATACTGTCGTGGAGCAGGCAGAGAATGGTGACAAATTTTGGTGGGCATCTGTACTTCAGAAGGATCCTCCACAACACTTCCTGGATGACAGAGTTGAAAGCTTTCGTGAGGTTAAAGAAAGCCATGTAGAGAGGCTTATGTTGTCCCCGGCATTTCTCCTGCAGCTGGTGAGCTGTGACAATCATGTCAGTTGTGTGTCTTCATGCGTGCGCTAAACCCACACTGAGATTCTAGGAGAAGCTCTTCAGAAAGTGGAAGGAGATAGTTCAGGAGGGTTCTCGCAATGATCTTTCTAGCCTTGGTACTGCATTTACTGCCACAAGAATCTCCGATTCCTGTTATGATTGAGATTAGCAGCACTGGGGTAACACATGAGCATTGAGGCAGGCATGTATTATACATAAAGACTCTAATGTTGCCTGCATAGGGCCGAGTTCAGATGCTGGCTATATGCTGAGAAGCACTCTCATTACTGAAAAATCATTTTTTTAATTTGAACACTTTCACCATTTTCTTAACTGTCTTTATCTCATCTTTATTAAAGTCATCTCTGGCAGCAGCAGCCTGTCACCAGTTTACCCGTGTGATTTTTCTTTGACAGGGCTTTCCCTGCTTTAAGTCTACACATTTGATGTCCTATTTAAATTAAAATGTCCTCTGTGGTCCTTGGCTTTACAAATCTTTACTGTGTTAGATTGTTTGGGTAGCATCGAATGAACCCAAATATGGTCCTGCTCTTCATATTGGAGAGATTCTGAAATTCTTCTGCTAAGAAACGTGTTTTTTCTTCCTCATCCCACTGATTTCTACAGGACTACTTGAGGAGTGAGATACTGCTGCCCACGAGTAATGGTACTGGAAGATGAAGCCATATATGCATGTTGTCTACCAGAAATCTAAATAAATAAATGGCGCACTGGGTCCTGATCATGATTAGAGACTTTGGATGCAACTGTTGTCCAAATAATAAATAAGCACCAGCAGCAGCGTAGTGATGCAGCTGGATGCCCAGGGCACAGGGGCAGCGGTGACTTCCAGTTGCTGTTGCATCACTGCTGTGATCATGTGGCTGCTAGCAGCAGCCATTTTTTTTCACCCCTCAAGTCAGCATCCAGGGTAATTGCTCCAGTTACCTTACCCTAGTTACACCACTGAGAACCTGAGAGGATTATAGGGCTTCCTTTTATTTTGCCTCAGACCCTATATCAGATTTTCTGAATTCACAGATCAGGATTCCTAGCATCCAACAAAATAGGCTGTTGCTTACAAAATCTTATACCTCTCTGAACTAGTTCGTCCCTACAGTGCCATCCTACCCTACCTTCTGCCACATTAAGAGTTAGAGTGTAGTTGCAGAAGAAGGCTATTGCCGGTTATCAGTCCTATCAGAGAGCTGTACAATTTAGAAGGTGGCAGAGGAGTTCATGTTTGTAACACAGTTGCGGAGACCCCACCTTAACTTTCAGATTTCAGGTGGAATTCATTGAGCTGGTAAGGAAAAACCCCCCAGTACTTATTTAAAAAAAACAGGTTTGATCTGGAAGACCAACATGGAACTCTTTGACTATTATTTTTATTTATTCTCTTCTGAGAGAAGAACTGAACTTCGGGTGCTAAGATCTCTCAAATTCTAATCATGCTTAAGATAAAGCAAAGCCATCCCCTATCTTCCAGGATCATCTATTAAGACAACTGCATTAAAATAAGCCCATCGATACCACTTTGCTCATAGCTGTCTCTCCTGTTTTGTCCTCTAGAATGGAGCATACTCTATGTAACAGTATCTGCCTTCATTTTGGTTGTGCTCACAGTTGGGTTAGCCTGGTTCTGCATCTGCTGCTGCAAAAGGTACGTGATAACTGTTTTGAAAAAAACTGCATACTTGTGACATCACTACAAGTTGTTTGTACTTGTAAATCAATTTCTTAGCCTTAAGCAACTCTTTACCACCTGCAGATATTTCTTTCTGGCCTTTGCTCTAAGTACTTGTCAACATAGTTTAACAGTACAGTTGCAAAAAGTATTCCTGGAATCACATTCTTGTCACCTAATAACTAACATACATCCTAACCCACCAGCTGCAAACATGTATAAGATCTTCATAGTCTTCCACCAAAGTCCTCACCATCCCTCGCAGCAAGGGAAAGGAAATGAGCATTGCTATTTGCCCTGAAGGGCACCAAGCATGAGTTATTTTAGACCTGAGAGAAAGGCATCAAACCCTCCCTTGTGAAGAAGTGGGCATAACTGATGTCCAAGGAGCCAGTCTGGAGAAAGTGTGCTAATGTCCTACATCTCTGGGGCCTTTCTGCTCTTTGACAATGTATTTTACCTCATTTTTGTATTTCCCAATGGTTTTTGTATGAATCTCAGCAAGATCATTAGAAATTCTGTCCCAAATAACCCAGTTTTCTTTACTAGTTCTTGTCATTAGACCAACTGCTTTGTCAAGCAGACTAGCCAAGAGGCTATTTGTTTTGATGTAACAAGACATTAAGTGTCTGGGTTTTTAGTTTTCTTTGCTATGAAATCTTTTTGTGATATGGACAGGATACTATCTGAAAGGATGCATACCTTGTGGTTTTTTCTATGAAATGTGGGAGGAAGGGAGGGTTTATTTGCCCCTTTGGAACTATCCTCACTTACTTAGCACTCCACAAAAGGGACCTGACTGATGCAATAATCTAGGTAAAGAGAAGAGGCAGGAACTAGGCAGAGCAGAAATTGGGGTGCTTTTGGTTTTGTGAAGCTTACAAGAAGGTGATATGACTTTTATTGATGTGGTTGGTTTTCTAGGTAGTTTGATCCACATCCTGGATTAGGTCTACCAGTCTGAAGAGTGTAGAGTCCAAGTTATTTTATCCCCGACAGCATCCACTATGTACTTATCAGACACAAAGGGAGTTGGCCTTTGTCTTGAGGAGCTTACAAAGTAACAGACACAGCTGGAAAAAAAGATAGGCAGAAGGGATACAACACATAAGCCAAATGACTGGGAGGTGAGGGGTCGAGTGTGAATTGTATTAGATATCCCCTTCCACCATTCAGCTTCTTCATCCTTCTGTTCCCTTCTTCCAAACATTCAGCCCTTTCTTCACAGGAGTAAGAGATGAAATGCATGCAGAGGTGACTGTCTGCAGGCATTGTGAAAGATGTACAGTTGGAGGAAATGAAGAGGAAATGTTAATTTTGCAGACTGGGTCAGGAGGGAGCTCAACACATAGGACATGGCAGAGAAATCTCCATTAGATGGCTTGTAGCTAGAGATGGGCCCAAACAAAGTTGATCAGAAATGCAAATCTGAAATGTGCAGGTGATCCCTATCAAAATCCTTGATCCAAAGAATCAAAAGCTCTGATCTGCAGAGTTTTGATCTGCAGCCAAATAGTGTGTTTCAGGCCTGTGGCAGGACACTTAGGGCACCTGCCACTTTCAGAGCTGAAGCAGGCTGTGGAGCAGGTGGCAGGTGTGGGCCAGGGTTAATTGTGGAGGCAGCTGACCCAGGGAGCCTGCAGGCATAGGCAGAGGGAGAAAAAATTTTGGGGGAGGCTGAGTGCATGCCTGCATACCCCCCAGCAGGTAAGTCTGTGGGGGGAGGGGAAAGTGCTGTGGGGCTGGGGCAGGCCTTGCACAGCCAGGGGGGGTACAGGGTGTGGGACTAAGCTGTGGCTCACCCAGAAGGGTGTGGTGGGGCGGCTCCTGCCGCTGCACACGCTCTGGGATGGCACAGGGGGTGTGTGCCCCTAGATCTGCGTGGGGTGGGGTGGGGCAGGCTGTTGCTGTGGGCTGGGGCTGCGCTGGGCTCTTCCCAGCAGGGGCTAAGTGACGCTGTGCTTGGGGTGGCAGTGCTGGGAGGAGGGATTGGGGGGGCTACAGTGCATTTTGGGGTGGCTTGAGCCCCACCCCTCCATAGTCCCCTTCCCACCGCTGCTGCAGTTGCTGGAAGCCCATGGCCCATTAGCTCCCCCTTCCCTATGCCTGCAGGTGGTGCTAGGGCTGAGTGATGGAGTCATCTGACTGGAGGAGGGCTGGGCCTAGGCAGAATATAAGCCCAGGCCCTGAAAGCAGAGCTTGCAATAACATCTTGGAGGCTGCTGGGTGAACATCTGTAGAGCAAGATGGCTGCAGCTCTGCAATGCCAGCATGGAAATAACATCAGAAGCTGTCTGGAGATTTGGGAAGGAAGTATGGGGGTGGGGGAGATTCCTGTGGGGCCAGAAGCCCTGAGAGAGGAGTTGAGTATGAGGGATTCAGGTGAGCCCAGAGGGGGGGCTGTGTTTATGGGATCTATTGAGGAGTCCAGGTGAGCCCAGAGATGAGTATATGGAGGCCTATTGAGGGGTCTGGGTGAGCCCAGAGAGAGAGAGGCTGAGAAGGAGAGACCTATGGAGGTGCCTGAGGGTGCAGACCCACAGAGAAGAGGGCTGACAGCTGGAGGACTGACCCAGGAACCTTGACTGCCCTGTGTGGGGCAGGGCCCAGGAGGGGCCAAAAGATTAAAAGAGACCACTACAGAGACTGCCAGAGCCAGGGGATCTCAACTGGCCCCAGGTGGGGCCAGGGCCCAGAACAGGCCAAAGATCCATATGTGGCCACAGCCAGAAAGGAAGGGGTCAAGGGGCATGCAGCCTAGGGTGAAGATGGTTGATACAGGGCCATCTGAGGAGGAGGGCTTGAGAAAGGGGTCTGAGAGAGAGCTGGGCCCAGGGGTCCTGGAGGTGAGATTGAACCAGGGCTAGCAGGCCTAGAGGCCTATATCCCAGGTTGGTCAAGGAGTAGGGCTGGAAACCCGCAGCCCAGGAGGGGCATATGACATCAGGGGGGAGTCCAAGAGGGGCCAGGATAGTTGGAACAGGTTGGTCCTGGGCAAGACCTGAAACTGCACCCTAGTGTGGCTGGTTAGCTTGGCGGAGCTGCCTGTGGTGAGGCAGGCTCCGTGAAATGCTATTTGTGGGCCACCCCAGGGAAAGGCGAGTATGGAGCACCTGGAAGTCTCAGCTTTCACTGACTTGTAGGTTACCCCATGGAGAGAGAAGGCTAAGGGACAGAAAAGGAAGACAGAAAGTGGGATCAGAAGGGTCCAAAGGCCTAGAGAGGGGACAAGAAGGGCCAAAAGGCCCAGTGTAGGACCTAGAGAGAGTGGAGCCACAGGGGCCCAGAGATGGGCTGGGAAAGGCTGAGACCAGAAGGGTCCAGGGGGCAGGAAAGGGTCAAAAGGGTCCAGGAAGAAACCAAAGGAGTCTGGCAGCTCAGGGAGGGGTTGCATGAGAGACCAAGGGGTCTGGGTGCCCAAAGAGAGGCTGAGGGGCCTGAGGGCCCCGTGAATGGCTGTGTGTGTAAAGAGAGAACATCAGTGAGGATGACATCTGCAAGGCGTGGGGCATGGTGTAGGGATGGAATGGAGCCATGCAATTGGCCCATAAAGCCTTGACCCCAAACCTGGTGGTCATCACAGTAAGACTCTAGGGCAGCTTCCTGTGTTTACTAAGGATTAACATCAAGAAGTGGTGGTGAAAGAAGGATGGACTGGCCATAGAGCAGGGCACAGAGAATTTTTTGGCTTTTGGGGGCTTTACTGCCACCCCTGGAGATGGTACTTGGTGACAAGGCCTACCACCAGTTATCGCAGAAAGCTTTTTTCTTTTCTAGGTATGAATAGCAGGTTTTGCCCTTTCTTTCTGCACACAAGATTTATGCTCAGTGGCCTGGATTTTTACTCCTCGTTAAGCTGGTACAATCAGAACTGACTTTTGAAATAATGGAGTTATATGTAAATATTTTGCGAGAGAGAAAATTTTAACCTTATTGGTAGTTCTCTATGTGTGTAGGGGAGAGAGCATTTACCGTGTGTGAGAACTTTATTTACTTGTGCTAACTTTCCTTTTAGCAGGAAGAGGACAAAAATAAGGAAAAAAACCAAATATACCATCTTAGATAATATAGATGACCAGGAGAGAATGGAGTTAAGGCCTAAATATGGTAAGTTGTCTTTTTTTTTTTTTAAGATTGGGGCTTTTTTAAGCAGTAAGCCTGCATTCTTGTATTCACCTTAATTTTAAAGTAAATTACAAACTTTTCCTTTACCCAAATTGTTCCTTCTTGAAAGGAAACATGAAGTATTTTGTTTACACTGCATTTTCCACATGGCCTGCAAATGCCCCAGTTAACTTCATTGGGCTTGGGATTGTTCCCTTAGTTCCCATTACATTTTGAAGTGCTAATGGGGGGCACTTTAAATTCAATGGGATAACATCACTCCAAATAATGGACATTCTAAAGCAGTAATAAATTCATTGAAAAGCATAGAGCTTTTGTTATCAGCTAGTTCCATCATATAGTTGCCTGTGTGGCTAGATACAATTGATAGATTCAATAAGACCTGGACAGTATTGTACTTCATGCTGAGATGCTTTAATTGAACTGTAAATATCTATGTTTAAAATAAGGGCAGGGCCAGGCACAAGGGATCTGAGCCTCCTGGGTACCTGCAGACATACAGGATGTCTGCTCCGATGCACTGTAATTACAGCATGTTGGAGCACACTTGATTAATTGAGTCTGCTGGAGCATGCTAATTAGTATGCTGTAGCAGCCTCGACATCTCATGTATTCAGTGTCCCTCATGTATTCAGTGTATTTCAAAATGGCGGTGAGAGTGCTTTAACTAAAGCTCGTCAAATGAGCTTTGAAGTGCCCCTTCCACCATTTTGAAGTGTGGGACACTGAATACACAAGATGCTGCAGGCACTTTAATTACAGCAGCTCCTGAGAACCCCTCTAATTAAAGTGTCCCACCCCCTGAGCACACGTAAAGATGCCCCATGTGATATAAATGATGTAGTTCCACACAAAGGCCAAGGGAATATCTGGCCTATGATATTCAGTATCTGCTAGAGAAATAATTTAACATGGGAACAGACAGTTCATTATATTATAGCACAGGTTCACTTAGCTTGTGCAACACTACATGGGAAGGAGGTTACTAAGACTGTCCAAAGAGCCTTTTTATTGTTGGTTTTCAGGTATAAAACACAGAAGTACAGAACACAATTCCAGCCTGATGGTGTCAGAGTCAGAGTTTGACAGTGATCAGGACACTATTTTCAGCAGAGAAAAGATTGAAGGAGAGAATCCGAAGAACATCATGAATGGCTCCATCAAAAATGGAGTTTCCTTCAACTACAGTGCAAAAGACAGATAATTGAGTAAGGGTGAAAAGAAAGGACACACCAGTCCAATGCACCAAGAAAGTGTTGACCACCCTTTATTTTTCAAAATCAAAAGCTTCCTAAAGTATCTACCAATTGCAGCTGAAGGGGAAATTTTCAGCACAGTGGAGGGGGGGATTAGACAGCAAAGCTCCTGTTGTCATGGCTGTAGGAACAAGAAGCACATGTAATTCCCTGCATGCTCTGTGCTGAACGTTTATGTCTAAATTTCTGAAGACATTTTCCTATCTTAGACTTGTGAATCACTGCTACCATCCTGTCCAGGACCGTTACTAACAGTGATGACTTTGTAAGACTTTGAGCTATATTTGGCTTGTATCTGTACTCCGTCACTTGAAGGATTATGAAGCTGACCTTGACAATTAAAGCCAATGTGCAGAATTTCCCTTGCGTCTGTAAAGAAGTTTAATCTTCATATATGGTTTCTGAATTGGATACAGAAAGGGGAGATCCATAAATAGCATCTTTAGTACATAGTATTACCTCCAAGCTCTGCTTTGTGACTATGGTTTTTAGGGTAGCACTTGTGAAGTGAAAATGCCTTTGTTTTTAAAGGCAGCTGACTATTTAGCAGTTGTTCTTTAATCAGCTGCCAGTTAATGTGATACATTTGTATCCTGTATAATGGAAATGTCCCTTATATTTATGTTGAAGATGTGATGGCAGCAGAGAAATCCTGTCTGTTTTCTTCTGTAATAATATACGAAGAGTGAGTTCCCCTCTGGACCTGAGGAGCTGCAAGGGATACAGAGACGCCTCCTGCAATGGGCTGAACACCTTAAACTTACTTTGATTGTAATGGGAGCTTGAGGCCCCTATCAAGACTGAGTGCTTCATGCACATAAATTAAGATGGAAGTTGCAATATGACTGCCTCAGAGGCTTGTAATGAAGAACTGGAATGTCTCAAGCCTTAGCACAATACAGTGAACAGTGTTGAGTAAGGCTTTTCTCCTTAGTTGCTACATGGCTGGATGTCTTGGGTCAGGGAGATTTTTTTTTAATGAAGGACAAAACTGTTAACGTTTTGAATTTGCTGCTCTTAATTGTTGTGCAGCACCTGGGCATCTTCTTTATGGGTGTCATATTAGATACTAATGCCCCATTGCCTCCTTGAGATCTGTGTCAGGGGGACCCATTTTGTCTGGAGGACTCCTCTATTCGTGGATGGAGGGTTGAATACATCTGCTTCCATGACACTGTCTGCCTTTTTCTTGTTCCCCTTCATTAACTAGGGAGGACTTCGCAGGGGCTGGGAACCTTCCCTCATGCAGGACTTCAGAAAAATTAAAACCCTAATTATGGAGGAATCAATCAGTGCAGAAAGCCTGGGCTGTGTAGTTTCAGTGGAGCTTCACTGCTGAGGAACAGGGACATGAAAACAGCAGCAACATAGTATGTTGTCTGCATTTTTCCTGACTCTGCTCCTCCAGATCCATGTTGACCTGTAACTTCCTTACAAGAATGTTAAAGTAATGACAATTAGCATTTACCCCTGCTCCATAATGATAGCCTTCTCAGACAAGACAACTTGAGCACAGCAGTGAAAGAAGCCAGCATGTCAGGCAAAAGGTGATTACTATTGGAAGCTTTTCCAGCTTATGCTCTTTGTTTACTTTTCACTACTTTCTGCTTAGCCTAGAAACATAGACAGCATGGTTTCTGGCCCCTCTCACTTGTTGTTCCATTAGCGTTCATGCAGTAGTGCATTTTTGGGTTGTAAGCAGTCCAGGGTAGGTGAGCATTCAAGGAAACCAAATTATATTTAAAAAAAAAGTTTTGGCCAGTCTGCTACTTTCAGTGCTCAAGTTCTGTATTTGTTCTACAGAAAATGACTCTTTGCAGATCTATGTGTTTTATGAACTAGATAAAATGTGAACAACCGTGACCCTGCATCAATCAAATATAAACATCTAAGTTTATGCATATTGGCACAGTTGTTAGCATCCATAAAACAAAACAAAACAAAACAAAAAACAAACCAACAACTGAAGATGCAGCTGAGTTCTGTAAATGTAGTCTTTTTTGCATTGGTTTTATTTTACTATTTAATGCCTGGTGCTCAGGCCTGCAGAAAGGCTGCACAGACGGTTAAGCTATAAAGGTAGTCATCCATTGCTTGAAGTCTAAAGTTCAAATGTGTCTTAGGTTTCTAAATGAAAAATGTTTTATGGTCTGAAGCATGCTTCCTAGCGAACATTGTTCAACAACACAAAGTTGCCACAGTTCTAGAAACACCACCTCTTCTTTCCTACCCTCAGAATCATTTCTGGAAGAAGTTCAAGTGCTGCGACAGCATTTTTTTTATCTGCTTGTCCGAGTACTTCCAACTCAAGCAGGTGGGAGACAGTAAACTGTATGGTCTAGGACCTCTTAATTACCTTTTTGCCTTTTGTTTCTTTCCACTTGAATTCACATGCGATTGCTAGCCACTTTTATAGCTCACAACCTTAGTTAAAAATGATTTTTTTAAATAGTGAATTTCCAAGGTGTTTTTAGAGGCACTGGCTTGCAGTTCTACCAATTTAACCTCATTCATCAACTTAGAAGGGAAAAAAGGAGAAAGGCAACATAGTAATTGGGCATTAAGATACACTATCTTGCAGATTATTAGGCCTAAAAATGCATGCCTGATATTAAAGGAAATCTGAAACTTCCAGTGGAGTCAGCAAGAAATACTTCTCTGGCTCTGAGTATTTGTGATATCAAACCTTAATGTTAACCTTTAATGGTCCTTCAGCATGACTTGTTTGCAAGCATATCTTTATCTACATTCTTTAACGTTTTTAAGTAGTGAGTGCAGTGTATATCTGAGAAGGATCTTAGGATTGTTACTGTAATTTAATTTAATTACTAAGTCTACATGTGAATCGTTGCATAGTGAGCAATACATACCTACTTGCAACATAGACCAGCTGTCCAGCTATAAGCTGACCAACAGCTTTTATCATGGCAGGCAAAATACTAATGTCATACAAGAAATTTAGCAGGACAAGTCTGACAAAATAAAAATAACCATAACATTTATTTTCTATTTCAGCTCTGGTATTGAAGGAGATGTTTGATACGGGTTGATGAGTAGTGACAAAATTAAATCAGAGCAATCCAGTTGTTGCTGGATGTGTAATGAAAAATCAATCGTCCTTGCTTCATACTTGCTTGTAAAATAAGTTACCATCTATCTTTTGTTAGAAAAAGGCCATTTCACCAGCTTTACTGTCCAGTGCCCTGGATACATCTGCTTCAACCCCCCACTCATGCTACTAAAAATGCTAGTCAACCTCCTATCAGTGGATTGTCTTGAGGAAACATAAGGGGACACAAGTAGGGGAATTAATCAGATCTGCAAAGGGTTTAGCAGAGCAGGGTGTACTTTCCAGTAGCAGACCCAGAAATGGGGCAGGGGACTGTGCTGCACATGGGCAATGCATTCTGAAATCCCTTCCTGGTCAGTGTGGGCTCCTGCTAGAGCTCCGTGTTAGCATTGAGCTCAACTCACCAGCTGATCTTGGTGGGATGTGGCTGGATTCCTTGTTTTCACTTAGTTCTGGAGCCCAAGGGGTAAACATTGTTTGCCCTTCCCTACCACAACAGCAGAGGAAAGGAGGCCAGAGCTGTGCAAAAGCAGGGGCTCTGACCAGACCTGATGCTGAGAACTCATGTGCGGCACAGCTGAAGTGATGTGGACTGCACTGCCACACCTCCTCTGGCACTTTCTCCCTTCCTTGTTTGGCTCCTTCAAACCTGAAAGCAGTGCAAAAATGCCAACACTTACCTTTTCTCAGACAGCTCTGGCATTCTTGAAATCCTTCAGGCCCCACTTATGCAAAATTCCTGTTGAAGTTAACTGAAGATTATTGCCTGACTAAAGAGATTGTGGGTTTTGGTCTCTTTACATGTTGAAAAGATAATGAACTTATTATTGTCCTTGTGTTTGGGGTTGGGAGGAAATGAAAACTATTTTCAGAGTCATCTTCTGAACAGTCTGTGGAACCCTGGTGAGAGAGGGAGGGAGGGCGAGCCTTTTTCTAGGGGAGAGAAACTGGAATAGAAGGCAGGTAGGAAGGTCCTAAAGCACAACATTTGTACACTTGGACTCTGCTTAAATTTCCTCATCGTATACAAATGTAGCAAAACATAACCCATTTCAGATGCCTTTGGGTGCTGAGGTACCAGAAGGAATTGTCCCAAAGGAACCATGAAGCTACTTAAGGTGGAAAAAAAAAAGAATTTCCTGCAGCACAGGCAATGACTTAAGTGCAAGTGAGGCATGCAGCAGTACTTTGCCTCTGTATGGAAGCATGGCTTCCTGTGTGTGGATGGGTGAACAATTGTAGATTTTATAATAGGAACCTATCTCTAGAAAATGTTGTTTATTGCAAATGATAATGTATTGTAACTGGAACCAGTTCTTAGCTGATACTATTACATTTATGTTACCCTCCTAATAAAGACTTGTCTTTCCTTCTGTAATGTTGTCATCTGTTTTCCTCAGCAAGACACTTTCTTCTGTGCCATATGAGGTTCAGACTTGAGGTCAGAGCAAGATAATGAAAACAATTACCTCCTATAGATTGTTCTGTCTGCACTCAACCTGCAACTATTATGGTTTAATTGTTTGTGACCTCTTTTTCCTCTGACTGCCACAGAAAATGCATTTTCTGTGAGAGGGAGGATGTAGTTCAGTGAGATGAACTGGAGGACAAGAAGTTGGAAAGTCTTAAATGCTCATTGCAGCTAACATCAAGGCTTTACTATCCTAGACACAGTTGATGTGTGCTTCTTTTAGAGTCAATACTGTCTAATTCAAAGCTGCTTTTTTAACATGAGATTATTTGTTTTAAGAAAAATGAAATATCTCAAGTCAGCCTTTGCACTGAGAGCTTGATCAAAGCATCACATTCTAGGTAAGAGGTTGTAGTCATTTTGTGGTGTTATGGGAGGTGGCCTGTTGAAAAGTGTACATTTGAAAAGAAGCACAAATCTGCTTCCCCATTTACTAGTATGGGCTTTAAAACTCTCAGAGTAGGGAAATGGATTTTGTGCTGTGCCCAGCTGCAGGGAATTTGGTCTTGGCTATGAGAAGTGACCTCAGAAACAGTTGTGCAGTAAGCCTCCACCCACTTAATCTTATTTTCAGATATGTTTTCAACAAGGAAAGCAGTGATCTAGTTACATACAGCACAAGTTCAGCACATCCCTGAAAATCAGTTCCTTTCCACAGATTGTCATCTATAAAAATAATAGATTGGGCCAAGTTCTGCCCTTGTTTACACTGTTGTACCTCCAATGCTTTTAGGGAGGCTCCATGTCTAACTAGTGTAATGGATGGGGTTACATTTGGTCCTGCATCTTAGTTCCCTTGAAGAACAAGGACCATCGAGCATGTGTGTTTGTCTCTATACACTGAAAAGAATAAATAACTGTCCCTCCTTGTTGCTTCCATTCATCATCTCAGCAGTCGTGACTGAATATGCACTAAAAGCAGAATGATTGAGGAAAAAGGAGCCATTTCTGCAGTCACTTTTCAGAGTGGAACCATGTTTTCAGGCATGAATATACACTCATGATGGGGGTGACCATATAATTTTTAACAAATCTGGGTTACTGCCCCACCCCATCTCCAGGTTAGTGGTGCTGCTGCAGGTAGAGGCACATGAGCAGGGGTGCAGGGCACAGTCCAGCATGGAGGTGAAGGTGGTGGGGGTCACTGAGCAGAGCATATAGTGCTTGGTACACCATGCCACTCTACCTCCCTACCAGACTGCACCTTGCCCCTGCAATTCTGAGACTTCTATTTTAGTTTTCACTAACCAGCCAGGCCTGACCTACAAAATCTAGAACTGTCCTGGCCAAGTCAAGAAGGATGTATGGTCACTCTACACATGATCAAGTCTTGGGGAGAGAACTTTCTAATTCTTTTCAGATTTCTGAGAAAAGGATACTTGCACTGAAAACACTGCAGACAAGCTGACTTCAGCTGTGGGTTTTAAATGCCGTACTGAATTCTCTATGGACTTTGTTTTACAAATCTCTCATTTGTACGAGAAACAAAATATCCTTCAAGATGTCATAGGCCTTCTAAAAAACTGCAGGACCAGATTAAATTCCTATTAATGCCTTTAATGAAAGCATCTCTCTGAAGAAATTAATCTATAAGGTGCTACCCCACCCTCTACCCAGCATCAGGCTAACATGACAAACTAACTCTCTTCAAAATGTTAGTTACAGCCATTTGAACTTCTTACTCCTGGGATTGCCATATTCCCAGCATCAGCATTAGATGCTCAGAGCCTGGACTGAGGGAGTGCATGGACTTGCGCAGCCCTCTGCTCAGTAACTGAACTGTACATCTATGAAGACAAGTTCTGCAGGGTAATGGATATACTGCAGAGTACTAGCTATTTATAACACATAAGACACTGCAAGGTACAGTGGAGCACAATATCCTAAGCAGACTTGGTCCAAGCATGTTGGCCATGTTTTCACTGTTTCACTGAATGCTGCGCGGTAGTGTTATACTTTGCACTGCCCCTGCAGTATTGTTTTAGGGAACTATAGGATCTTGAGCTTTCTCCACTTATTCTGCTCAACTGAGCTAAGCTGCTGAGGTTAGTGTGCTGGTAGGAAAACTGATTACCTGAAATGACTTGCCAAGAAAACGCTTTCACTGTGGCTAACAATATTCTTGTGCCTAATTAGGCAAAAGAAAGGCAGTCCTAGAACTACTTGGGATACAGTGTCTATGGGCGTTTATACATGTGCTCTGGAAGTGGAGTGGAGGGGGCACTGCTTTAATTAAAGTGCTCAGATCATCACATATATCAGCATCCTTGTGCTGAAAAATGGCAGGGGGGGCACTTTAATTAAAGCTCTTTGAGAGGGGACAGGTAGCACAACAGCAAATAGGGCAAAAAGCAGAAAGCAGATCAGGCAGAGGATGTGGGGTTGATTTGTGGCACATCTGCCAAAAAAGGTCAGCCCTCACTGCTATAGATAAATACAGCAGGGAGAAGAAAAGCTAAATGTCAATGTTGACACAGAAGAAATGGGTATACACTGACCATGAAAAATTTAAGCCAGAAATTAGAAGAGGTTTTTAACTAGTAGAGGGGCCAAAAAACCCCTAATAAGTCTAAAGGTAGGACTTGATAAATTTACAAACAGGCTTATAGAAACAATAGTGCCCTGTTAGCAGGGGAATGGGCTCAGAAATGCTGCGAGGTGAGGTCCCTTCCAATTTTATGTTAAGTGTTTGTAAAATGCTTGATGCAATGACACAAAAATGCAAATGACTGACTTTCAAAGTGTCATACCTTTTGAGAATCACTCTTGAATTCAACTCTATTTTACTTTTAGAGGAGCCTCTGTGGGTGCATCTACACATTCATTAATGCACCATAGTTACTGCACATTTAATTTAGTACTTCCTTAATCAAGTACTAACTGAATGTGCAGTAACTACATTTATTAATGCTGGCAGTTTTTTTTTGTGATGCTTATTGTGCAATAGCCTCATAACATTGCACAGTAGCGTATTAGCACAGTTTTTGACCGGCACGCTACTATGCAGTGTTGTTAGGCTACTGTGCAGTAAGCGTCTCATGTAGATGCACCTTGTATGTAGATGCTGTGTATTTTTTCTACTGCTTGGTTTATCTGATATAAAGGATTTTGAACCATAAAATAAGTGTTGGCTAACAGCCAAATCATCAATTTAGCAAAGAAAAAAACATGAATGCCACATACCCAATACATTCCTAGAAGTTAAGATTTTTATTACCTGAAAGCACAGTTGTTTTGCTAAGCAGCATGTATTTTTTTTTTAACAGTTATGCATATTAAAGAACTGGAAAAGGCTAACCTGTCACAAATGAGTTGTATGCATAATTGAAATGTAAACATTTAAGTATGAATCTTGTTAAAGGATCACAGCTTTTATTAAGAACACAATATTGTAAGAAAAAATAATCTGTGCTCATTCTATACATATTACTTACATGAAAATATTATGTACTAACTCACTGGAATCCAACTTGGAAGGAAAATCTTGGCAAATTAACTAAACGTATCTCTTTTCATATAGTACAACTTTTGTGCTTGTCACATTTTAAAGGTATTTTGTGCTGGGTAATGATTATATATTCACTACTTTTGTCTTTGTTCTACCCTTGTAAAAGGCACACCAAGACCCCCCTGTTTGTGATACTACTGCTTAGCACACAAACGGATAGGTAAGCTGTAAGTGGGAGCAGACTTACTCCTCCGGGCAGTGTAATCTGTATTTGTGCACCTCCAAACAACTGTATTCAAGTGACTACTCTCAGGGACGTACAGACTTGGACAGCAGTTACTGAATATATCCCTGGGCAATGCTTTTTTGAATTAAAAATGGAAGAGTAAACCATCTTGCAGTATATGCTCCACTTCCATGTGTGCTATAACATGGTACACACAAAGTAAGGGCACTCTCTGTGCTCAACTAAGATATTTTAACTAGTTAAAACAAACTTCTTCTAGCTAAGGAAAAGGACATCTTATTTCCTTTATTACCTCTATGGGCATATCCTGTAGCTGATCAGCTATTGTAAATGCCTCAGTGACTTTGTGTGTACTGCATCTGGATCTTCTGCAGGAGCAAAGTGTCCTTTCAACACCCCCTGGTGGCATAACTTCAGTATGATGCACTCAGGCATTTTACATTGGCACTAAGGTATGAGCTCCAGCCACGATAATGTCCAGGGATCCTGGTTTTCTCCTTTTAAAAAAAAAAAAATCCCCAATTTTTAGGTTAAAAAGAAGTAACCATGGATATGAGTTGGTTTTTTTTAACCAAAAAATTGGGGATTTTTTTTTGAACACTGGAGAAAACCAGGATCCCTGATAATGCCATATAAACTAAGTAATAACAACAACATTAAAAATCCAAGTAGTATTTTACAGCACCGTGTGTGTGCATTTTAGAAGTCTGCTGTGAAGCTCTGCTCCACTCTTCCAATCTTAAATCATTCCCAAATTCATATTTCCCCTTCCCTTGCATAACAGAATGTAATATTGTACAACAGCCTGCTTAATAGTGTAGACAGACTGAGGAAAATTCAGTGTAGACAGGGGGAGTTGGCTCGCTGTAACAACTATAAATGCCTTGTAAATAGAAAACGTAGACAGACACCTGCTTCCCTGCAGCCTCTGCAATGCTAGCTAGAAAGAAGTTTTCTGAATAAAGTGCTTGTTATTTAAATAAAGTTAAAACTTCAGGAATGCCCCACTCTTTCATCTTCTAAAAATTATTTCCCTTGACTAACTGCGATGGCTCACAAAACCTTCCAGCTGCAGATCTGTATTTAAATTCTTAGTAGAACCTAACTCCCCAATAGACATCTCCCTGCATGTGGAAAAACCCAAGCCAAGGCCTGGAGACTTTCAGAGCACAGAGGCTAGAGGAGCTCTGGAGCCTGTGTAGCTGGTGTGGAGATGTGGTAAAAAACACTCTCTAAAAGGGGTTAGGCATCATGGATGTTGACTGACACATCCTTAACTTGGTCCATGGGGAATTACATTGGTCTTACAAAGGGGATTGGTTAGATCAGTAGTTCCCAGCCTGTTCAGTCAGGACACCCTTTCATTGATATTTTCAATGTGCTAGTACCTCCATTTGAGAACCACTGTTGGTGCTGCCTCAACTTACCTCTGTGGTTCTCAATCAGCTGCTGCTGCCTCCAGGTATAACTGCCCACACACCTTTGGCACAGCCAGCTCAAGAAGGGCTGTGGAACGTGCACATGCTCCTCCCGCATTAGGGATCATTGATCATCCTAAAGCAGGACAGGAGTCTGGTCTGTGGTCTTCCCCCCATGCCTGCCCAGTGCTCATCCTAGAAAGAGGCAAATGGGTGGAAATGTCCCATGTGCTTCTGGTTCTTTTTTAATTTTTTAAGAAACTTTTCATGTTCCAAGCTAAATCAAGTCCAAACCCATGAGTCAGTCCAGAACCAGAAGTGGCCCTACAACTGGCAAACATCCTCAACCCCCCTAGGGGCTTCAGATATTTCCAAAGTCTTCTGGCAGGCATCCTACATGCAGGCCCAAGCCCAAAGGCTTGGGGTTCAGATACCTCCAAGTTTCACCTGCCCTCAGCCATATGGCCACAAGACCAAGCTGGGAGGAGCCCCAACACCTTGGTGGGTACTAAACTACGCCAGAAGAACAGTTATCCCTGGGAATGCTTAAGGAGAATGGCCTGTAACAGGGGGAATATTGGATCCAGATACATGGTGTTTTCCCTGGTTCTAGAAGATCGTGGGTGGGAGGTGAAGGGAAAAGGGGAGAGGGCATGGGGAAAGGCTACAGCCTGAGCCAGCTCTCCTGTCCTGGTTTAGTGTTATGAGAAAGCCCCGATGCAGCACCAGTGTGCGCATACCACAGACCTGCACGTGGGGCAGTTTTACCTGGCTGCTGCAGTGGCAGCAGTGCCTGCATCATGACCCTCGCCTCACCACCCCCAGTGAGAACCACTGGGTTAGACATTCATTTACATACCATCTTATACTTTTCTCCTCATTCCAACAGCTCTGTAGTCTCCCTGCAAGGCGAGACAAATTCTCTTTCCCCTGCTACCACTGCGCCAGGTGTGTCCTGTATCCATTGCCTCGCTGTGCATCCAGCATATACAGAATGCGTTAACATTGGGCACAGCAGGGAAATTATCTCCCCCAACAGTTCCCCACATACATGGTTTTAGGGAAAAAAGGTGTCTGTTTCTTTTACCAGAAATGGAGGATGGATCTTCTTTGTGGACAAAAATCACTCCATCCTATTTGCTTAAATAACAGAGACACTACTATTCTTTCCTGCCCCCACCAAAGAGAGGCACAGTAGTTATACTGCTGGGTATTAACTAATGCTATGACAATGCAGTATGTAAAGATCAATGTTGAGTAGTATTTTTACATATACTAGCACAAGACTGTAAAAACTAGCACAAGACTGTAAAACATCTCTTTACACTTACACGAGAGGGTTACTTAATTCTGAATGGAGTAAGAGTTGCACTAATATGTACCGATATCTGGATTTGTAATTTACTAGACCTAAAGCCCTACTTTCCAGGCCTTTGTGGATTGTTTCTCTCAGTGGTTGTTATAAGCCTCCAAAACAGACGTATTTGACTTCTAGGTACTCATCAATGCCATATTTTGAACCCTCTCGTCCTAGACCAGACTGTTTTACACCACCAAAAGGGCACTCTACTGCAGATAATAGTCCTTCATTAACCCCAACCATTCCAACCTCCAGCTGCTCCGCGACTCTCCAGATCTGGCCTGGGTCTTGAGAATAGAAGTATCCTGCAAAATGGATACAGAATACCTCATGACAGCAATAGTCAAAAGGATGCAGCAGCAGCAGACATCTCAGACACAACAGCCAGCAGGTATACTCACTCTTAAGTAAAAATATTCATCCCATTTACTGGCAACGCTAAGCTCAAACTTATAAAATTATGTATTTATCTGCCAAGGAAGATACTTACCTGCTAAACCCACATTGGCTGAATTTGCTATAGCAACAGCTTCTGCCTCGGTATCAAACCTGTCAACATAAGAAAAATGGACACCCATGAGATCTCCAGTCAAAATAACAGGCATCCTTTGCTCCATTATCTTCCTGTTCTCTGAGATATAGCCAGAACTGCCATATGGGGAGTAGGGCAAAGTGCATATAATAGTTCTGTGACAAGTTCCAGGGTTTAAAGTTTACTTTTCTGTGGGTGTGTCTACACAAGGCGCTATGGTGACATTACATCAGTGGGCGCAAACTGTGATGCCAGAGCTATGTTGCTTTAGCAATGGACTCCCTTGCTATAGTGGTTAAAAATAACTGTGTGCCACCAGCACGGTGGAGTACAGGCTGTTACTGTGCCATCACTTAGCACTGTGGTCACCAAACACTTGATTGTGGTCTGCTGGTCATTTGGGGAGCCCCTGATAGTAACCCAAAGAGTCCCCCAGACTGAGATTAACTGTCATAGGATCTGGGATCAGGAGTGGCGGGATGCACGTGGGATGCAGTCTGGGAGCGGCAAGACATACGAGCAGCGGGATGTACGTGGCTGGGCTGAGCTGAGGCCCTGGCTGCTGGGGCCAAGCTGGATGAGTGGGACAATCCCCTTCTGCACCCCCTGCCACTGGGTGAGGGGGGCCCTGGCTGGGTTGAGTCAGAGGAGGGTCGGAGGCTGGGCGGCTCATCCAGGTACGTCAGGGCCTCTTGCCACTGCATGCACCCTGGTGGAGGCCCGGGGGGGTACATACCGCCCCCTCAGTCTGTGCAGGGCAAGGTGGCTGCCACTGCCAGAATGAAGGCATAGGGATGGTACATTGGTTGCAGGAAGTCGTGCTCCTGTCCCTGCTCTCCTTTTTTCCCCCCATGTGCATGAAGGCCAAGTCCCATCTTCCAGGTCACTCACCCTTTTGCTGGAGCTGTAGTTTGAGGCTTACCCCTATTACAGCCACTGCCAAACTGGCAACAGCTTTTGGCTTGGTCAAATATTTAAAGTCCAGTATATAAAGTACAGAATCCAAATTCGGCAGGGTAAACCTGAAACTGTGCAGGCCCAAGCATTCAACCATGGTGAACCCATGCTGTGGCACTTAAGATTCTGGAAATATCTTTTTTTCTTCATTTTGCCTTCCCAAAACAAGGTTCATGACTTACCTGTGGGTATGTAATATACAGGAAAAATATAGTTTTTTTTTTTTTTTTTTATTAGCAATGCCTTTGGCTACATTAGCTGTTAAATAGCAGTTAAAACCATTTAACCAAAATGGATGAACTTGCCATTAATTTCCCCCACATCTAGACAAGCCATCCCACCTAGACTAAGTCTTCCTTCAGGCAAGTTCCAACATAATCAGACCGAAGAAGGTCTCGGAGAGAAAAGTGCCGGAGTTAAAATTTTCCCACAATGTATTTTGGACCAGAGAAATCTAGGACCAGCAGATCATGTACAAAGATCCAAGCTGCCTTTACTGTTACCCTCTTCAATGATGCCATATAAAAGCATTACTTAGAGACTTAATATTATGAAAAATCAAAATTCAGAAAATACTGAAGTAAAAATATAGAATGGTGTGCATGCTCTCATAATAACTAGAGACCTAAACATAATTGACAAATAATAATGCATGTGCATCCACATTCACAAAAAAATAGTTCTGAAGCTTGCTGTGCTCTTTGTCACTAAATTAACCTGTAAAATAGATTGGCTTACTTGATAACTGGTGCCACTGGACCAAATGTTTCTTCTTGAGTGCAAAGCATGTTTGTTGTGACATTGCTCAGCAAAGTTGGCTCAAAGAAGTTCTTCCCAAGGCTGTGCCGTTTTCCTCCCGTCACAATGGAGGCTCCTTGAGCCACCGCATCACTAATGTGTCTTTCTACCTGAGGTGAGTAAAATAAATGAGACTCAAGCTAGCATTGGTTGCTAAGTCTGTGGCACATACTTCAAAGGGAAAGAAGATTCCTGGTTGACACTTTTAAACAGGGCATTCAGAGAGAGAGAGAGGCAGGACTCCCTTCGTGATAGTTTAAAATTTCCTGATTTGATGTCTTGTTTGGCTTGAGGGGTTTAAATGACCAGTTTCCAGGTGAGAAGTGTCCTAATCACCAGGTGAGGAGAGGGGCCAATGTAGTACTCTCCCCTCTTGCAGCTGAACCCATGACACTGTGCAGCAGTGTACGGCACTTGTGAAAAATAGTGCTTTATGATGAAAGGAAAGGTGCTTTGTTTACGCGCAGCAAGATATCATGCCAGATACTTCCTAAAAGGTTGTAAATATTTATCTCCTATGGTAAATATAATACACTCTGGCAAATTTGTAAGCAATCTGTAGTTGCTATATAAATGAGACTGAAAGGTCACAGCTATACCTGCATTGCATTAAGAAAGGAGCAATTCACACTGTCATAATCAGCTTTAACCTCAAAGAGCACAAGAGCAAATGTAACAAAAAAAAAAATCAAGACAGCTTTTATGGTTCCAAAAAAAAGTTAAATATCCTAGAAATAAGCAGTCATCTAGAAGAGAGGGAGTTCCAAAGCTTGCACAGTAGGTCTCACTATCAAAGACTGAGTCTTCCACAATCACAGCTCCAGTACATTTTTAACCTTAATTTGTTATTTCCCCTAGTTTTGATAGGCAGGAATATTGCTCCTCAAAACAAATGCTCATTCCCAGTGCCAAGGGGTATGCATCCTAATCCATTCCCTGCATTCTCCTGTCTTTAGCAAATGGCTCTCTTGAGAAAAATCGGAATATAATTAGGAAGAAAGGTTTGCTTATTGTAGAAGAGTCCTTTTTCTTTTCCCATGGTGGAACATCAGATGGCCATAACTGCTCCTGATCACATCAGCATGGGCCTTGACGTGAGAAGAGCTTTTCAACAAATACAATCTAACAAAACAGGTATAAGAAAACTGGGTGCAAAACATGCTTAACAGGCCATAAAACTAGAAATTCAATTTAAAAAAATGCAACCCATATGTTCGTCTTCATACCTTTTCCACTGCCTTTTCGTTAATTAATGGTCCCTGGGTAGTTCTTTCATCAAATCCATTTCCTACATGTAGCTCTCTCTCAATGGCTTTGGCAAACTTTTCCACAAATGTATCATGGATTCCTTTCTGCACCAAGAAGCGGTTTGTGCAAACACATGTCTGAAAACAAACATAAAAGAACAACAGGTGACATAATTTCATGCATCTCTGACATCTCCCAACTAATCTTACTTTCCATTTAGCAGCGGCAGAGTACCATTTTGATTCACTTTACAGGACACATTACAAATCCAACCCTAATAAGCTGATGTGGTTTGCCTGAGACATTTACAGGTGTAGCTTGTGCTACTAAAAGGCTAAATAAGGTTCTGATGACTCTGATATATGTATTCACCAGCATGCAAAGGTGATGGGGGTTATTCTCTGATTCGAAGATACAGAGTGTAGGCTGTGCAGTAGAGCCAGCAATCAAGCAAGAAGAGAAAGTACGAGCTGATGTTTCCATTGATTTTTATGTTTACTTTGTCGGTAGGGTTCAAACTCTACTCCTTTTAGGAACTACATTTTTATAAGTGATATTTTTAGGTTGGCCTTTCATTTAGTCAATGCTTTTATCTTTCTTTGCCTCAATTAGGACAACCTCTTGGTCTAAATTTTCCATTGATGTTTCTTCTCCCTTTTGCTCCTTCTTTCCTCTAACTTTGAATCCCCTTGGTGGCTTCCAAAACACCTTATCCTTGTGTTGGTCTATGCTACAGACCAAGTATTACTATTGCCCATTCACTGCTTTTACTCTACCACAAATTCCAGCCTCTTTGTTGCATTCATTTCCTGGGGTTCATCTTTGTTCCTCTTCTCATGTTGTCTACTAGCATGAAGCAAAAATAAAACAAAGCAAAAAAAAAATCATCAAACACAAGAAATAAGGACTATTTAAATTTCTTCTCACCTGTCCTGAGTTTCTATATTTAGAAGCCAGGGCTCCTGCAACAGCTTGGTCCACATTAGCACTGTCAAATACTATAAAGGGAGCATGCCCCCCAAGCTCCATGGAGACCCTTTTCACAGTGTCAGCAGCATAGTGCAGCAGTAACTGCAAGTACACAAGACAGAAATCCATACACCTTCAAATGAGTCTGTAAATACTCCGTGATTTTAGCCAGTACAGACTAGGGAAGAGGAAAATAACCCTAGCACAGAATGGACCTGCAGGTTGTCTCCACAAAACCCACAAACCTTTTCTATGGAAAGTAGTACAAGGAACCACTTTCTATGCTGGTCATGTGAGGTGCAATCCTGACTTTACTGGAATCTAATAATAAATTCCCCTTGATTTTAGTTGGGTCATAATTTTATCCAATAATTTTTCTGACTTAGTTTAACAGAACTCAAGTGCTTGTACTACTCTTTCCCTTCCACGTTTGTTCCACAGTCAAACAGCACTTTTAACTGAGACTTCTTCCTCTAGGTAGCCAACGTGTTTTCTTCATTCGCTCTGAGACCACTTTAGACTATGTTCCTCCCTGTTTAAGGGTCAGATTCCATCACCCTTATTCACATCATATGGTGCCTTTTATCCGTAATTCATCTTATTAAAATTAATAACATTGCTTCTGCAGCAAGGGTGGTAAAATCTAACCTACAGTAAATGTTTCATGTCATTAATCTTTTCCTCCTTCTCAGAAATATACTCCATTCCTGGCAACACGATTTAATTATGCTGAAGTGTTCCTCTTAGACTGTGCCATTGTATACATTAAGCAGCAGTTTCTTGGACTGAACCTTCCTGAATAATTGTTCTTCCTCAGATTTCAAATGGCACATTATCATATTTTTGTGACATTATTAGACACAACATACAGGGAGAAATAGAAGTATATGCAGGCTATGGAGGGGATTCCTATGAGTTTGTTATGCATGTTGTATAAAGGAGAACCTCCCTGAGAGAACTTGATATGAGAAAGATGTACATAACCCTCTCCCCTTCCTTCTCCCCCCAGTATTTTCCTTGGCTTTCCAAACATAATTCTAGTAAAACCATACAAAAGCATGCTTTGTTGTCTTTATCACATACCTTTCCTGTTGCAGTGGAGCCAGTAAAAGAGATTTTGGCTACCAAGGGGTCAGTGCATAGAGCCTCCCCTACAGCTGGGGTCTGTTGTCGGGAACAGGGAACAACATTAAATACTCCTGCTGGAATGCCAGCCTGGTTTGCCAGCTGCAATAAGAAACAGGAAAAGTGCAGTGAAGATACATTTTATAAGAGGATTAGTTAATTTTATATGATTTATAAAATAATAAAATACAAATAAAAAACTTAATGCTTTGAAAATGAAACTCTCAAGTCCAATGGAAGTAAGAGGTGCTTGGCATCTCCTGTATTGGGCTCCATAAGTGCCAGCTGCTAGCATGAATCCCACACAAGTAGGCTCTTGTGCTTCAATGTTAAAGCTGTTTTTTTGACTGTTAGGCCCACCCTATATAACACTCCAAATATAACCATAAAATGTCCTGCAATGCTTGTTTCAAGGTAAATATTTAAGCTAAAGGACTGTCTTAGTGGCATATGTTTGTAAAATCTCAGCATGACGACTTGGCAAAATTTGTACTGTAAGCCACTTAAATTCCTGTTTGTGGATCCCTAGTATAAAGTGCAGTCCATTATCAAAATAAAAATCAGTTGAAAAGTTCACCTCAGCAAGCGCTAATGCAGATAAGGGTGTATCTTCTGCAGGTTTCACCACCACTGTACAGCCAGCTGCCAGGGCTGCACCAACCTTCCGTGTAATCATGGCACTAGGGAAATTCCACTAAGTTGAGAGAGAAATACAGTGAAGCTCAGAAAAGCTATATGCTTCCAGCTTTGCCCAAACACCTGGATATTTTTTGCAGTTTCTACGGAAAACCCAAGCAGAGACGCTCATTACCAGCGAGAGTTTCCTTTTATGTTGTCAAACACTTCTCAAAATAACTGAAAAGGAGAGAAGTGTGTGTAGAGGACAAAGACCAATTATTTTTATACTCTACAAGTTCTCTAAGCCAAAAAGCAGTACCACTGACATAGAAGTCCTTCTGCTTATGATAAATCAAATACTCCCTGCATCTTTAATCCAGGAACAAATCCCTCTTCCCCTGCCATATGCCACCCCTCCCAC